CTCAATCATATGCTCATCTAATCTTTGATAAAGGTGCAAGTAATGTGAAGTGGAGTAAGGAAAGCCTCTTTAATAAATTGTGTTGGCATCACTGGATGGCTACATGCAAAAAAATACGCTCAGAACTCTGCCTAACACCATGTACAAAAGTAAGATCAAAACGGATTAAAGACCTCAACATCAGACCAGAAACCATAAGGTACATTGAAGATAAAGTTGGCAAAACCCTCCATGACATTGAAGCTAATGGTATCTTCAAAGATGCCACGCCACTGGCCGAGCAAGTGAAAACAGATATAGATAAATGGGACTATCTTAAACTAAGAAGCTTCTGCACCTCCAAAGAAACAGTGACCAAAATACAAAGACAGTCTACAGAATGGGAAAGGATATTCACCGAATACACATCTGACAAGGGGTTGATATCCAGGATATACAAAATACTGGTTAAACTCCACAAGAAGAAAACATCCAACCCCATCCAAAAATGGAGCAATGAAATGAACAGAAACTTTCTCAAAGAAGAAATCCGAATGGCAAAAAAGCACATGAGAAAATGCTCTACATCATTAATCATCAGGGAGATGCAGATCAAAACCACAATGAGATACCATCTCACACCTCCGAGACTAGCCCACATTCAAAAGAACAAAAGCAACCGATGCTGGCGTGGATGTGGCAAGAAAGGGACACTCCTTCACTGTTGGTGGGAATGTCCACTGGTTCAGCCCTTCTGGAAAACAGTATGGTCGATTCTCAAAAAATTAGAAATTGAGCTCCCATTTGACCCAGCAATACCACTCCTGGGAATATATCCCAGAGAGGCAAAAATGTATAGTCGAAGTGACATCTGCACTTGTTTGTTCATTGCAGCACTCTTTACAATAGCCAGAAACTGGAAGAAACCTGAGTGCCCAAGAACAGATGACTGGTTAAAGAAACTTTGGTACATCTACACAATGGAGTACTATGTAGCTCTTAGAAAAGATGAAGTCATGAAATTTACATACAAGTGGTACAATATGGAAAGTATCATGCTAAGCGAAATGAGTCAGAAAGAGAGGGATAGACATAGAAAGATTGCATTCATCTGGGGGATATAAAGTAACAAAGTATGAGATTAATACCCAAGAATAGCTGAGATCAGCACCAGGAGGATTACTCCATAACTTAGAGGCCAGCCGGGTATCCTAGAGGAAAGGGCAGTTCAGATAGAGAAGGGAGCACCAAATAAAGGATGTTTGGAGGATCCTCCCAGGAGGGGAGATGCATGTCGAAAGTAGACTATGGACTGAACATGTTTGCCACTCAATGCCTCTTTTGCAGACCACAACACCCAAAAGGAGAGAGAGAACACAGGGGATTGCCCTGCCACAGAGACAGGGGGGATGGGGGGATGGGGGTGGGAGGGATATTATCCATGGTGGTGGAAAATGGGCACTGGTGGAGGGATGGGTATCTGATCATTGTATAATTGAAACCAAAGCACAAAAACTTGTAAATCTACAACTTTAAAAAAAAATAAAATACAATAAAGGGGAAAAAGAAAATAAAGTTGTCACAGTGCCAAAATAATTTTTGAGAAAAATAACTGCTTGTATCTTATGACAAGCATTGTTTAAAAATATTTATGATGGGGCTGAAGCAATAGCACAGTGGATAGGGCATTTGCCTTGCACACGGCCAACCCGGGTTCGATTCCCAGCATCCCATATGGTACCCTGAGCACTGCCAGGAGTAATTCTTGAGTGCGGAGCCAGGAGTAACTCCTGTGCACCGCCAGGTGTGACCCAAAAAGCAAAAACTAAAATAAAATATTTATGTTGACATTGATACCTATATCTCTCCAATGTGTTGTTAATAGGAATAACTAAGTATTTATGCTTAAGAATGTTTAGGTTTCAAAAAAGAAAGAACTTTTAAGTTTCAAATTCTGCATTATTCTCTAGTCAACTCTAATAGATATTAAAGTGTTTGTCCAGCATCTTCAAGAGGAACAAAACTACCACTATCTTCAGGAAAATTACAAAAAGAAAACTAACACATTTAAGAAAAAATAATACACTTTAATGAAAAAAATTACAATGTAACAAGGATATTTTACATTAAATTATAATACACACATATTAAAATTTTTTAACCTGGAACAAATTAAACAATTTTTTTCTACTACTTACGTGATTAAGTATATATCTGACAGCATATGAAGAAACATAAGCTGGTGGGTCTCAAAATTAGAAACTCTAATGCACAACCAGATCTCCAAATTTATGCATTGTACCACTTTTATGAGTGGTAGAAAATATTCACCTTGTATATGATATAAAAGTTTTTTTTTTAAGTACGTTAAGTGTGCTTATGTAGAAAATTACTATTGAGGGAAATGTACATTTTGGCTGAGTTTATCTACAAATAACTGTGATACACACATATAAAGTATATTTGGAAGCCTGAAACATGAGAAATACAATGAAAAATAAAGCTGGCTGTAATTATGAATTCTTAGCTGCGTATTTCAAATGTTCATCTTATTACCAAAGGTATTTATATCCCGCAGCATATAAAACAAAAGAGCTTAGGTCAAACTTTGCTGTAGAGCTGTATAGGAGAACGCCAAATATAGATAACAAAATTTTTATGCACTTGCATTTGATATCCTGTTCATTTAAAAATGATAAAAAACAAAATATGTAAGTATTCTTTTTAAATAGCAATGCTAAGCATCTTTATAATACTGATATACTGTTAGCGAAGATGCATTTACAGAACAAATTTTTGAAAACTAATTTAGAAACCAGCTTTAAAGACCTGCTGATTGAAATACTTACATGAAAATACTGATAGTTCCAGTTTCTACCTAAAAACCAAAAAAGTATAGTATTAGGAATTTAAGCCTTCTTTAAAGTTCTTTTTGTTCTTTTTTGTTTATTTCTGGGGAAGATAAATTGTAACTCTGAATACTGGTAAGAAAAAAACAGAAGAGATATTCATAAAGAAGAAAACAAAGTATTCTTGGCTTTACTTTGTTTATGATCTAGTTCCAAAGCATGAATCCTCTAACTTATTTCATTGCCAATGGTAACTATCTAGGAGTTATATTTTCATAAGCATTTCTCCTTTGCAACTCAACAACAAAAAGAATGCCTCCAAAAGAACATAGTTCAATTTGTGAAATAATTAATAAACTATTTCTGTAAGTTTATTGTTATTGTTTGGATTTTGGGGCCATACCCAGTGGTGCTCAGGTGTTACTCCTGGCCGGGACCATGAGGGATCTGAAGATCAAACCCACTCGGATCTGCTATGTGTAAGGAAAACGCCATACCGGCTCTAGTCCCCTAAAAGTTTTAAGAATCTATGAAAGCAAGAAATAAAAATGAAAAGAATATTATCTACAAAATAACACTGAGCTAAAAATTAACTTAGACTTAACCCTTTAAGTACATACATACTAAAAGATCTGAGTTTGAGGGAGCCAGAGTGATAGCACAATAGGTAGGACATTTGCCTTGCACTCAGCCAGCCCAAGTTTAATCCCTAGCATCATGTGTGTTCCTAAGAGACTGCCAGGAATGATTTCCTGAGCAGGTGTGGCCCCCAAACTAAAAAAGTAATATTATAAAAATCTGGCTTTAAACCACAGCACCCAAAAGGAGAGAGAGAACAAAAGGGAATGCCCTGCCACAAAGGCAGGGTGGGTTTGGAGGGGGGGAGAAGGGGGGAAGGGATACTGGGATTCGTGGTGGTGGAAAATGAGCACTGGTGGAGGGATGGGTACTTAATCATTGTATAAATGAAAGCCAGGCACAAAAATTTCTAAGTCTACAACAGTACCTCTTGGTTTGTCACTAATAAAAAACAATCTGATTTTGAAATAACTAAGCTGTACTTAACATAGCATAACAATAGAACTTCAGAGGATAGGGCCGACCCAGGTTCAAGTCCAGCATCCTATTGGTACCCTGAGCACTTCCAGGAATGATTCCTGAGTCCAGAGCCAGAAATAACCCATTAGCATCTGTCAGATGTGACCCAAAAAGCAAAACAAAAAAACAACAGAACTTTATGACCTGCCCCTATCATAGCTACATAAAGTATTTTCAATTTTTAGAAATAAGAGCAATAGCACAGCGGGTAGGGCATTTGCCTTGCACGTGGCCGACCTGGGTTCGATTCCTCCGCCCCTCTAGGAGAGCCCGACAAGCTACCAAGGGTATCCCGCCCACAGGGCAAAGCCTGGCAAGCTACCAGTGACATATTCAATATGCCAAAACAGTAACAAGTCTTGCAAATCTGGTGCCCACTCGAGCAAATCAATAAACAACGGGAGGACAACGCTACAGTGCAGTGTTACAAAAAGAGAACCAATTCTTATCAAAATGTATAGCTGTAACTGAATATGCACTGTATTTAATAGTGATATAATTACACTTTATATTAAATACCATATTTATCCAAAGAATAAAGAATTTTAGAATTCCATTTAAGAGTACTTTAATGTACCCAAAACTGTTAAAAATGAATTAGTAACAGGAGGTTGGATTCGGAACAGGCAAAAATAAGTCATTTATAATGTACTGTTAAATTTTCATATTATATTTGGTTGCTTTGTATTTTAAATATACTTTAAAAAACTTTTTGTTTTTGTTTTTGGAGGTGCCATGGATGACACCAACATATTCAAATATATAAGGAATGTGTATTACCACTCATCTGCATTTCTGGCCCCAGAAACACTTACTTTTATTTTATTTCACTGCTTTGGGGGTCTACACCTGCAGGTGCTTATTTCTGGCTGGAGCGATAGCACAGCGGTAGGGCATTTGCCTTGCATGCAGCCAGCCCAGCAGAGCTGGGTTCAATTCCTCCACCCCTCTCAGAGAGCCCGGCAAGCTACCGACAGTATTCAATATGCCAAACACAGTAACAAGAAGTCTCATAATGGAGACGCTACTGGGCCCACTCAAGCAAATTGATGAACAATGGGAGGATAATTCAGGGATCACTTTTTGTGGTGCTAAGGAAATAATTAGCAGTGCTGTGGATTGATTCAGAGTTGACAATGTGTAGGGCAAGCACCTTAACTTTGAACTATCTCTCCAGTCACAATCCTTAATATTTTAATTTTTATTTATTTTTGGTTTTGAGGGGGTTACAACTGGCAGTGCTTAGGGATTACTCCTGACCCTGTGTGCTCAGGGATCATTCCTGGTAGTGATTCAAGAGTCATACATTGTGTCACAGATCAGACTGAGCACTATATATGTTAGAATACAAGTTAGGAGCCTAAACCCTGTACTATCTCTCCAGTCTTTATTATTTTTAAATTAACTTTAAAATATATCAACAGTGGCCTCTGAGGAAAACCTTTAGGTTAATTTCTTCACAAAGCAAACTTGTAATGATTAGTTTTATTTTGTGTTTAAAGTTAATACTCAAATTTTTTTTATGTTTTAAATAGAAACTAAATTTTAAACTATACTTACCTTGAAATACTATACATTCTAATGTTATCAATTCAATAACTCTGACACAGAAAAATATAATTCAAATATTCTTCAAATAAGAGCTAAATTTTCAATACAAAATAGAGGGGGAAATTCTCCACTGATTTCAAAAAGTTTCTGAATTATTTGTAAGTATTGGGGAACTCTATTATTCTTTTTTTAATTCTCACCATTTCTACATCTGTATAAGTACTGTTTCATTACAATACTGTTTAAATTTGTACAATATACATTTGTTTCTGTTTTATGTATGATTAATTCAGGTTGAAATTCCCAGAATTATTAAGACACTTTAAAGTTCTACTAGGTGACTTTTGTATTAAGTCTGAAGATATTAAGACAAAAAGTAGAATGCAAAAAGCTAAAATACAGCTACACAGATTACAAAAATGTGACTTCTGGGTAACATGAATATAAAATCAATTGTTTTATCTTTCCACATAGGACAGACTCTCATCTGTCTGCCAATTAAAAAACATTCTTCACAATTTTTAAGAGGAAGTTCTTTTAAAACCTGAAAAAGTTACAACATACAAATATACATTCACACATTGTTTTTGTTATTTTTGCTTTCTAAGAATTAAATTTGGGTATTTTTCAGAGTGTAACATATTTGTTTTCAGACATGGGTAAGTTCAGATAGTCTTGATATACTGCCTTATCAGATCATCAAAACGCGTAGTATTAATATAAAATAAGGTATCTTAAGTAAAAAATATGAAATTGGCATCAAATACATCAGTTTCACATCAAAGCTTTTCATTGACTTAGTCTTCTGTTCACTTATAATGCTGCACTTTGACAATATTCACCATCTTTTCTGACATCAGATGTTATCAGTTATGTTATGAAAAGCTTCAATAAATTAAATTCTTACAGTCCCAATTTCTTTTTTATTCCATAGACAATGCTGGTTCTTTGGATTCTTGCTTATCTTGGTCCATAGGAATGGTATCTTCTGGATTTTCTTCAACTTTAAAGTTTAAAAAAAAGAAAAACAAACCCTAAAAGTTAGTGTAATTCATGGCACTGGAATCTTTAGAATAAGAATGTAAAAGAAAAGTGAAAACACATCAGTTTTTTTGGGGGGGGCGGGGGACCTTATAATTAAGAAAACAAGTTTGAAAGAATAGTTGAGACAAGTACGAGGAGGTTCGCTCCATGGCTTAGAGGCCAGTCGCACATGCTGGGGGAAAAGGCAGCTCAGATAGAGAAGGGAGCACCAAATAAAGGGTGTTGGGAGGAACCGCTCAGGATGGGAGATGCATGCTGAAAGTAGACTACAGACCGAACATGACTGCCACTCAATACCTCTATTACAAACCACAACACTCAAAAGGAGAGAGAGAACAAAAGGGAATGCCCTGCCACAGAGGCAGGGTGGAATGGGAGGGGGATGAGGTATGGTAGGAGGGATACTGGGATCATCAGTGGTGGAAAATGGGCACTGGTGGAGCAATAGGTACTCAATCATTGTATAACTGAAACCCAAGCACAAAAATTTATAAGTCCACAACTGTACCTCATGGTGTTTCACTAATAAAATGAAAAAAAAAAAAAGAAAACAAGTTTGAGGACAAGGAGATAGCTCAAAGGGCTGGAGTATATGTGTGGGATTCCTGATTTCGATCACTGGTACTACACAGCCTTCAACTCTCAATACTACAGAAAGTAACCCTTAAGCACTCAGCTAGGAGTAGCCCACAGCACCACTGGATAGCACTGTAGCACTGAAGCACTGAACTCCCATTGTTCATAGATTTTCTCAAGCGGGCACCAGTAACGTCTCCTTTGTGAGAATTGTTGTTACTGTTTTGGCATATCAAATACGACACAGGTAGCTTGCCAAGCTTTGCTGTGTGGGCAGAATACTCTCGGTAGCTTGCAGGGCTCTCCAAGAGGGGTGGAGGAATCAAAACCAGGTCGGCCACGTGCAAGACAAATGCCCTACGCGCTATGCTATCGCTCCGACCCAGCACCACTGGGTGTAGTCCAAAAACAGAAACAGAAAATTAATTGGTGTGTCTGAGAACTCATAGTCTCTACATCCATTGTTTGGAGGGGGTGGGGTGGAACACATACAGGAGTAATCAAATGCCATTCCTGACTCTGTACTCAATGACCCCTGGCAGTGCACAGGGGACCATATATGGTATCAGGGATTCAAAGCAGGGCCAGAGGGATACAAGACAAATACCTTCATCACTATACAATCTCCCTGGCCTCTGCTTCTGACATGTATATAAAATAACTTCAATAGTTCCTAGTAATAAACGTATTATTTTATCAAGGAAACAATAGTTACCCTCTTCAAAAAGTTATTCTCTTAAAAAATACCCTAATAAAAGCCAATGTTTGCTAAGAACATTCAGAATAATCTATATTTACCATCAGTCCTATCTGTGGGGGCATCCCTAGCAGTGTTGAGAGTCACTAGGCATATACCCGACAGCACAGTCAGGAGGTTATGCAGGCGGAGGATAGAACATGGGTCCCTGTGCATGCTTTTGAACTATCTTCTTGGTCCTAGAAATATTTCATATTTAAACCTATCTGTCTTTAAAAATAATGGTAGGAAACCTACCATTATTTGAAAAGTATTTGCTTTGCTAAGAAAAGAACTATATATTACACGTTTACAGATGTTACCATTTCCAGGTGATCTCCATATGTCATATATCAAGGGATTGTACACACCTCAAAGAAACTTCACACGAGTTAAGAAAAAGTATGCCTCATCTTTAATGACAATTTTGACCTATATGTTTACTTATTAAAAATACTTCCCAATGTAGGAGCTGGAGCATTATAGCAGGTAGGATGTTTGCCTTGCACATGGCCAACCCAGATTTGATCCATAGCACACCATATGGTACCCCAAGCACCACAAGGAGTAATTCCTGGGGCAAAGCCAGGAGTAACCTCCCCAAGTATTGCCAGGTATGGCTCATAAACCAAAATAAAGAAAATATTTCCAAATTCATTTAAATTCTAAATTCTAAATTCATTCATTCTAACCATTCTAAAGTCAAAGCACTTAAAAATCAAATAAATTTATCTTAGTGCAGCATACCATCAACATTACTGTGTAATGACAGGTGGGATACCTGGAATCAAATCTTTCTTCTGAATACTGGGGGTTTTTGTTTGTTTTGGCGGGGTCCAAACCCAGTGATGCTCAAAAGTTACTCCTGGCTCTGCACTCAGGGGACCCTATGGGATGCCAGGGATTGAACTTGGATTGCCACATGCAACGCAAAGGCTTGACCCACTATACTATCACTCCAGCCCTGAATATTGTTTTTTCAGTTGCAATAAAGAACTAAACTCAAGGGAATCATATCTGCTCAGAGAAGCATACTGACACCTAATGATTGACATAGCTGGGTGTGCTAGAGTTATTGCCTGAAAACCCAGAAAATCAGATAAGGGATTTGAGGGACCTGAGAATATTTAGATAAAGTAGTTCCCCAATTTATGATCTAACTTGGAAAATGATGCAAATTCAGATCCAAATATGGTTTTCTTTAAATCAACAGAAATAGCTTGGCACAACACAGCAGCAGAAAGCATGTTAGAATGGAAAGAATCTTTTGGAAGCAGACCGATCTTTTGCTAAGTCAGCAACTAGATGACATTTACAATAGTTTTATAGACAACCCAAGCCTTAGTTTTCCCATTTGTAAAATGGAGATATTACCAACTCTTTTATGTGTTAAAATGTAATTCTTTTCATTTTTTTCTAAACCTCCTCAGTAGTTACCATTGCTGCAGTACTATGGATAAATTTTCTTAGACATAAAGCTTTTGATAAATTTAAAAGACAGAGTCTTTTGTGGGGGGAAAGGAGGTGGTTTGGACCACACACAGGTGCTCAGAGACAACTGCTGGCTCTGTGCTCAGGGATTATGCCTGGCAGTGCAGGAGAATCATATCAGGGATTTGAACGGGGGTCAAGCTTTCCACTTGTATTATTGCTATAGTTGCCAAATACAAAGATTCTTTTTTGAAAGGAACTTATGGTTTTCTTTACTCTGAAGAATGATGACAAAGTATACACAAAACAAACAAGCAACTTTATAAATTCTATGTCAACTTTTTTTTTTTCTTTTTGGGTCACACCCGGCAATGCTCTAAGTCCTGGTTCTACATTCAGGAATTATTCCTGGAGGTGCTCAGGGGACCATATGGGATGCCGGGGATTGAACCCAGATTGGCCGCATGCAAGGCAAACGCCCTACCCGCTGTACTATCCATCCCCCCCATGTCAACTTTTATGATAGTTTTTGTTCTGCTTTAATTTAATAAAGCAAATTAAAATACACACCTCTCCCCCTCCAAGAAAGGCCCAATCCAGAAAAATCTGTAAGAAAGTGATGTAGGTCAACTAGGAATTTAAAAATCGTTATCATATTCACCGGGTTCATAGAGTGAAAGTACTAAAGCTTGGGATTAAACTCCAGTTTCCAAAATTTACCAGCTACATTCATTACTTTCCATGAAATTCAACATTTAAATCTGAAAGTCAAAAGTTTCCTTTTGCCTTTATATCTGCTTATTTATTCCACTTTTCATGTGTATCAATTTTTCCATAATTCAGTTCACTAAAGTTGTTCTGTGTTTTTTTTGGTTTTAGGTGCAGGGAACCGTATCTAGATCAAACCAAGATTGATCGCATGCAAGGAATACTAACTATACTCTCTCTGGCCCCTAGAATAGTTTTCTTTTTCTGTTTTTGTGACACACCCAACAGTGCACAGGGCTTACTCCTGGCTGTATACCAAGGGATCACTTCTGGCAGTGCTCAAGGGACCATTTGGGATTAAACCTGGGTTGGCAGAACGCAAGGCAAGTGCTCTACCTGCTGTACTATAGTCTTTAGTATCGTCTTTTAAAATTGTTCTTTTTTTCATTTTTGAGCCCCACTCAGCTGTACTCCAGGTATTACTTCTACCTTTGTGCTCAAAGATCACTCCTGGTGGGGTTCAGGGGAATATATGCAGTGCTGGAGATAAAACCCAGGTCAGTCACATGCAAGGAAAACACCTTACCCACTGTACTATCTCTCCGGCCCAATTTCTCTTGTTTTAATGTATTCTAAAAAGATCTTCCTCGTTATATCACCACAGGTTCTCCATGTAAAACTAGGTAATAAAGGAATAAATAATTTTGATAGGGATTAAAATATTAAGTTTAAAAGTTTTTAAAGTTATATTAATGTTTTCCCCTTCTCATTATTTGTATACTCATTCTTTTGTAGTAATAAAGGTGATATTTCATAAAGGTTTTTAGAAAGATAAAATCATATATAGATTTTAACTTACTAAGAGCTGGGTGGGTATCTATAATATGCATTGGAATGGTGTCCACATCTCCCAACAGAATCTGATGAACACTTCCTTCCAGATTGTCTGTATCTTGCACATCTCCATCTTCTATCAACTGATCCACCGGAACCAGATTTTGAACTGGTTCTGGAAGGTTACCAATGGCAGAAGCAATACTATTGTTTTCAGTGAGGCAAGTATCTGTTTGAAGGTTATGACCTTGATCAAGTAGGAGAGAATTATTGTTCATTACAGTACTTTCTATTGAGTTCAGGAGTCTGGAAGGACTTGAGGAGGAGTGGTTATTTTCTGATATGAGAGTTGGTGATCCATCAGAAGAGGTAAACTGCAAACCCTTTTAAACCAAAAAAAAATTTTCATCAAAATGTTTGAACTTACTACTTGCGGTTTTCTCATGTATATTTTTTTTGACATAAAATTAGAATAAAATGTAGGTACAATTACTGACAAACATTAAGAACAGAAAAAAAAACCCAAAGGAAAAATAGTGCAATTAAGTTCTATCACATGCAAAGTTCTCAAATTTCTTCAAAATATTGTTTAAATTACCAATTTTTAAATTGTTATTAATTTTATTTTAAAATATTTTTAAATTACTACTAATGGTGGTTTCTCATGGATATAATTCCAATATCATATAAATTATCACCTTAAATACCAAAAAAGAAAATTACTAATCTTTGAGCATTATCATAATACTGCAACTATTCTGTAAAATCTCTAAAAAGAGGAAATTGAAGAAGAAAGTTCTCAAATTCGGCTACCTGAAGCTGGGTAAATACTTTGGGTGGAAATGAGGAAAATGAGGAAAGCAAGTGGGCTGGCTCCAGAGATACAGAAGTTGTTTGATTTGTTTCTACATTAGTAGTAACTGAGTCTCCTGTTGAATTTCCTAAGTAAGAGGAAAAACAATCTATTAATAAAATAATTTTCATGACTTCTAGGGAGCTACATTTTATTTCAATCCTTTGATTAGAATAAGAAGCAAGTTAAGACTTTGAAAAGGACTTTCAGAAGTTACCTAGCTCACTATTTCTAGAATGTGACAGATCATGTTGATCACAATAGATGATCAGAATCATAACCATTAAGAACATTGTGAAAATATTTAAATTCTTAGTCAACCTTTATTCTAATTCAGCATATCTATAAAAGTAGGAAACTTTTCTACTTCAAAAGATTCTGTATCAGTAGTTTGGATCCTATTCACTATCCTATGATACTAGTCTATTTCCTAGCCTTCTCTAGAGATGTGAAATCCATAGAGATTCAATTGCAAACATTAAACAATCAATCATTCTTCGCTATTACAATCTAGTGCCTACTACAATGCTTGGCGTAAAACAGGTCTTCTCTGGAAGGTCAGGCCTCCAGACTCTATCTGTTAAACTCTGGGTGAGTTACATAATCCTGCTACTTTCAAGTTCATGAAGGACTAGCTCAATAGAAAACCAGTGTAGAGCCCAAACAGTGCAGCTCAGAAATTTCAGTAAATTTACAAGTTTCTCGTCTATCATCCTTGGGGGTCAGGTCTGGCTGCATGGTTCTAAGCTGCCTCCAGAGCATTTTCTCTGATTTATAGACCTGAATGGGTCATGTTGTGTTTCAAATCTGCTGGCTCCCTTACCAGCTGGGGAAAGGGTGGTGCTCAAAAACAACAAAAAGTATCAAGATAACTAACCTTCTGCAAACGCAACTGTCACAGTTTCTCCAATAATATTTCTATTATCTGTAGTCCACTCCAGCTGAAATTGAAACATTTCAGTAGAAATAATTTATAACCGAAACATAGTTTCAAGTACTTATGCAACTGTTATATTTTATTCATAGTATAACTGCTTTACTCTGTAATGACTCTCTTGTTCACATTTGCAAAGTACAAATATACTTCCCTATTCAAATACATTCGCTTTATGAATTCTGATAGCAAAAATTTGGACAGCAAGTATAGATGGCAGGGATCACTGCTAATCAGGTTTGTTCTGTTCCTGAATTTGGGATGGTGAGAGTTGAGGCCAAAGATTCATGGCCCTAACTTTAGAAAAAATCTGAAATTTATTCAGCTACTTAAGTCAGACAGTAAAATTCTGGAGAGCACAGGAACTACTACTGAGATTTTAGTGCCATAATTACTGCTTATTTTACAACTATTAGTTCCTAAATTGTTTGATTAATCCCTGAGACAAGGTAAAATTTTTGCAGAGATAATTGATATGAAGGGGAAAACTACAAAACAGTGGTAGTTTTATATAAGATAAGACTAATAATCACAGATGGCATAAAAGACCAATATCATCACTTTGTACATTCAAGTATAAATTATATTTAAATTTGACTGTGTATTTAAAAAAAGAGGGAATATATAAGAATATATCAAATTATGGGTGAACGAGATAGTACAGCAGGTAGAGCACTTGCTTTGCACGCGAACAACCAGGGTTCAATTCCCAGTATCCTACGTTAGTCCTGAGTACTGCCAGGAGCAATTCCTGAGTGCAGAGCCAGGAGTAAGCCCTGAAAATTTCTGGGTATGACTCCCTCAAAAGAGACTGTATCCAATTAATATCTCTTAAATATTAATTTTTAAAGAAAATATTAATTATAAAACAAGAATATATAATCAGTTACTATACTGAGATGGAAATTCATGTTTTTTTCCATAAGTAATACAAAATTTTAGTCAAATTACCATCTGAGTTTTTCATTCAAATAATTATGAGTTCAATATTTAAGAAAAATATTAATATTTTTCTCCTATATCACATTATTATGGCCTAACAAAAACCATCACTATTAAGCTAAACAATAATAACTGTGAAAAATTCTGTAACAAATAAAGCAATTATGTTTGTAGTCATACCGTGGTGGGAATAATCTCTGAATTATACATGTTATCTCCATTTCTCAAGGATTTCTGTACCTCATGGATGTGATTTCTTAGATCATTTACAGTTGGAAAAAAGGATAGATTATGTCTTTCAGGGACCTCATCAGGTTTGAACAGTTCCCTTTCCACAAAATTTCTGTAGAGAATATAAAAGAAAAATATACACAATTTAACAATATACTTTAGATCAAGTAGGGAAGAAGTTCTCTTTTAGCACAAACTTCTATAAAACATGGTCTATAGCTTTATAATTCTTATTTTCTAACTTTAAATTTTTCTCTTATGTTAAGTAACAATTCATGTACGGGCTGAAAGAGAGCTCAACAGGTGGGAGTTCATGGTTTGCATGCAGGAGTGAGGTCTTGTTTTGATCCCTAGCAGAGCATGGTCTTCTAAGCAAAGTCAAGAGTGACCCCTCAGCAAGGACCTGAAAGTAGCCCAAGTACCACCAGTTGTGAACCCAAAACAAATCAAAACCAAAATCGAACTCATGTAGATTAATATTTTCATATTTAAACATTTATGGATTTAAAAAAATCTACTTTCAGTTTAAGTATGATAGGCTTTTGAGTACTTACTCTGAGGTACTAATATAGTACCTCATATATTTCCTTTATCCCTTACTACAATCCTGTGGAGCAGGTAAAATGATCATCTCCATTTCACGGATGAGGAAACTGAGGGCTTCAGAAGTTAAATAACTGCTCATAATTATGTACCAAACAAGTAAGTGAGTTTGGGCCTACAAAGAGGTTATATTCATAAACATCTTGTTACACTGCTTCCAAAAGGCAGCAATTAATATTACATAAAATGGAATATGCTCAAAATGTTATGAATGTATAAAATAAGTTGCCGCATAATTATTTAGAACTACACAAAATAAATTATAAAGTTCATTTCATATATATATACTGTGTATATGATAGATTTTATCATGGGGATGTTTCTTAAGATCAGTAAATATTAGATAAATAAATATTAAATAAGGTTTAGTAAACAGTGAATGGTTTTACCAAATTTTACCTTGGTTCTAACAATGCCCCTAAGAAATTTAATATAAAATGTCTAAGAAAGCTGTTAAATATAAAATCCACATATTAATTATGAAATAATACTAGAGAATACACATTTTATCATGTAGGTAAGTCTACACAATAAGCAGTAGGAACAAGTTCAATTTAATATCAGAACTCATAGCAAGAAAGCAAAATCTGTTGAATTAGACCTAGACTTCAGTTCTTACTAGTTTGGCCAGTTATTTAACACTCTGTGAGAGTCTCCATTTTCTAGTTTGCAGACTGGGTAAAAATACATCAATTTTACAGAATTGTAAGAATGAATGAGATTACACATATTAAGGGCTTAATACAACACCTAGCTGACATATACTAAGTATAACGAAATAAAAATTTTTATATCCCATCAATAAAATTAGTTTAGTTTTCCATATATGGCATTTTACTGGAAAAAGAACTATGTATATTCATCTTTTCAATAGTCCAGAGTTTTTTTTTAAGTAGTCATACTATGAATTCCTAGAGAATGGGTATTCTCTCGGCAGCTCAGGTTTCTTTCCATTGTTTCTCACAAAGCGAGCTTGCTTAGGTAGAACAGGTTGGTGCTTCATTTGAACCCAAGTATCATATCTTTCTCTTTGGCTTCCCCCACCCTTTTTGGGGGGGGGGGGTTGGGCCATACCTGGTGATACTTAGGACTGACTTCTGGCTCAGGAATTATTCCTGCTCACGGATGCCAGGGATCGAACCTGGGTAGGCCATGTACAAGGCAAACATCTACCCGTTGTGCTATCACTGTGGCCCCTAGCTTCCTTATTTTATTATCAATTTTCTTCACATATTTCAGGAAGCTATCTAGGCTCTTACGGTGCTTAATTTATCCTATATGAACATGAATTATCTTGGCAATACTCCTTCCCTTCGTTTGGTTCACAACAAGGCCAACTACATGCTGGGTACTACTGTAGGCTCACTTGTAGTCATAGTAACACGTGTAGTACATTTCTTTATAAACAGTGAGCATTTCCTTTAGGTCTACAATCTCACCTTTCTGGCAGATATAGAAGTATGTGGCCAAAGGGACAATTACATGCTTTCTTTAAGGCCTAGAGAACATATAGAGGCTCCTTTCCTCTTTTCCTTGGTGTTAGTAATCTTGACAATATTCTGAAGTTATATTCTGGTTTCCAATCTAAAGTTTTATATTCTTTTGTTGTAGCACTTTCCTCCCACTGTTCATCGATTTGCTTGAGCAGGCACCAGCAATGTCTCCTTTATGAGATTTGTTGTTACTGTGTTTGGCATATTGAATATGTCGCGGGTAGCTTGCCAGGCTTTGCCATGCAGGCAGGATATTCTAGGTAGCTTGCCAGGCTCTCCAAGAGAGGCAGAGGAATCGAACCTGGGTCGGCCGCATGCAAGGCAAACACCCTACCTGCTGTGCTATCACTCCAGCCCCATTCTTTTGTCATAATGATAAAATCTAACAGCAATTAAAACAACTTTAAAGCTATATTCCGTATCTACTTGATAGCATATATCCTAGGAAATGTCTACAATGTCAAGTGTTTTATTTAAACCAGCAAACAAATATGAAATCTGTAAAAGAAGTTTGCTTTTACTGTACCTTAGCTGTTTCCTTACTGCATACACTTGTTCTATTCCCTGTGATACTAATTCTTGAATCTTACAAGCTACTTTAGGATGCAGACGTGAGGCCAATGCACAATTCTCATCTCTAACTGCAGCATTCTCTTCTTCAAGAGATGGCACAGGAAGAGTGGTAGATGACAAACGGCGGTAGGGAATCTCTAATTCATGATATTGATGAGCTTGCTGTGTGGGGAGCTGTACATACCACCTGACAAGAAAGAGTATTTTATATTACTAGGCAAAGGAATAAAATGTAGTTATCTATGTTAATAAAAAAAAGAAAGAACGTCAAAAAATGTAAATCATACTAAATATATAATTTTTGAATTAAATACAAATATAAATATCCTCTACTTAACTCTTCTAAGACTGGCTTTAAACACAATTATAAAATTTTTTTTTAATCTTTATTCACTTTCATTATGACTCCAAATTTGGGGGGTAAGGAGGACAGAGCAATACAGTGAATAAAGTATTTGCCTTGCACACAGACAACCTATGTTCAATCCCTGGCAACTCATATGGTCTCCCAAGTCCCAACAGAATTGATCCCCTGAGCACAGAGCCAGGAGTAAGTCTTAAGCACAGCTGGATATGGTCAAAAAGCCAAAAAAAAAAAAAGGTTCAGGAGACTATAATGTACATAAAAAGGTCTTTAAAATTGCATATTAATTAAATATTTAAACTATGAGATATTTTTGTTTTGGGGCCAAACTCCTACTGGTGCTGAGGGACAATAGCCATTTCTGCACTTAAGGATTGGTTCCTGGCAGTGCTCAGTGCTGGGAATCATGATGTGCTCAGAGTCAATTCTAGGCCGCCATGAATGCAGTAACATGCACTCAATCTATTCAGTAATCTCTCCACACCAGCAAACATAAGAATTTTAATATGATCTTTTGAATTGTATGTTTTACATTCTTCTACCAATTTGTTTCCAAATTTTCTATTGCACCTATAATTCTTAATAAAGATATAATTCAGAAAGTATATAATTTCTATCAGAGTAGATATAATTCAGAGCCTGTCAAGACTGGATTACTTGAAAGAACCAGAATCTTCTCAAGGAACCCAACATGCCTCTTCTACAGCACTGCCCCAATAAGCAACAGAAATCAATACAAGTCACTCATACAGTAATGCAGTGAAAAATGATAGATGCTAGAAAAATACACTGATTTGCTAGGATTCTGGTTTTGTTTTTTTCTCTCTCACCTCTCTCCTTTCTCTCCTCTCTCTCTCTCTCTCTCCCCTCCCTCTCTCGCCCAGGATACTGTGTTTTGGAGTGAGCTGGGGGTGTTGGGGTGGGGTTTTTTGTTTTTGGACCAAACCCAGCGATACTCAAATGTTGCTCCTGGTTTTGGCACTCAGGAATTACTCCTGATGGTGTTCTGGAGACCATATGAGACGCTGGGGATCAAACCTGGGTGGGCCACATGCAAGACAAGTGCCGTATTTGCTGCTCTCCAGTCCCCCCCCAATACTGTTTTAACTAATAATTTTATAAAAGATACTTTTAATAATTGGCTGCATAAGATGAGGCCTAGCTTTATAGTTTACAAAAAGTTCCCCATATTAAAATATTTAATAGTATATGAAAAGTTTCCTATTGAAATATTTAATTAACTATATATTTTAATTCATCAAAAAATATTTTAAAGCACACAAGGAGAGACCAGAGACATAGCAAGCAGTTAAGGTACTTATCTTGTATCCCATTAACATTGGTTCAAATCTCTGGCATCATAAATGGTTCCCCAGGACTACCCCAGATCACTTTTTCCTTTGTATAAGGCTAGGAATAAGCCCTGAGCACCTCCAGGCATGCCCCGATATAAACAAACAAAAAAACCCGAAAGAGAGCTTGGAAGTAGCTCAAATGATAGAACACATATCTTGCAGCTGTGAGGCCCTCGGCTTGATTCCTGGTATTGCCTGCCTCCTACCCAAGCACTGTGAGGTGTGGCTTTGGTGGACCTGAGCACCAAACACCAGGAATAGCTCTGGCCCCTGAGCAATGCTGGGTGTGGTCCCTAGAACAATAAAAAAAAAAAAAGGCAAAGCCTGAAGCATACAAAATATTAAACACGATTTTATATAAGGCCTTGATTTCATTTCTGGCTGCTATATTTATAGATGGGTTACAAAAATATGTAGGGGAGAGGTCATAGCCATAGTATAGTATAGGGGCACTTGCCTTGCACACAGCCAATTGAGTTTGATCCTCAGCACCTCATATAGTCCTCCGAACTCAAGAATGGTCCCTGAGCACAGAGCCAGGAGTAAGCCCTGGTTGCCACTGGGTGTGGCAAAAAAAAAACCCCATATATATATATATATATATATATGATTGCAAAGTACTTCTAGTAAGTTCCTGAAAAATGTATTAAGCATATGAGCTTCTAAATAATTATCTGGGGAAAATTTTATAGAAATCTTTGGCCAGAATTATTACAGGATATTATAGGATGGCTTTATACAGGGTCAAAAAAATGTTTGTCTTTTTTTTTTTTTTTAAAGTGTGCTGGGGATTGAACTCAGTCACTCACACATGCAAGGCCAAGTGCCCATCAGAGAGCCACAACCCAGACTCTGCAGGTAATTTAGTATCTGGAGAATGACTAGAAAGATATCTACCTTATAAAACCATTTCTTAAATAATTGCAAAACATAATTACAATGATCATACAGAAAGAATTCTTGCACATATTAACTGTAAATAGTTAATTTGTAAAACAAAAGAACTGTAAAAATGTCATACCTAAGAACACCACCAGCATCAACCAGGTTCTTCTTTAGCATATTAAAGGCTTTCTCCTGCTCCATTCGGATTATTTTCTTGTCAATTTTGGGGTCTGTTGGAACGCTATATTCAGGAAATTTCTGTACCTTTTTTATGTAAATCCTTTTTTGTAAGAAAAAAACAGAATTTCTTTACATTATAATCTCAAAAGGGTGTAACTTCTCAACATGAAAGCTGAAGCATTAAAGATGGAAGAACATTTAATTACTCTAGAAAGCATGCAGAGGATTATTTTTAAAAATATGCCATATTCTCAATGCCTTATGTTTAGCAAAATGTTAACTATGACTTCAGTAAAGATGTGCTCAAAGCACTAGAGCACATGCTGTGCATGTGGGAGTCCCAGGATCACTCTCTTATAGTATAAGATCTCCCAAGTAGCAATCCCCAAACCCTGAGCTGAAAACAGCTCCTCAGGAAAAAAACATAAAAATTATGTAAATACTTATGAATATTAACTTTTCTCCCCAAATTTGTTTCTTCTTCATTCTCCTAGAAGCCATAATCACTCTCTCCTTTTAATTTCCATTACTTAAATTTGTTCCATACATCAATGCCACAAAAACAATTTTACATTTATATTTCTCTGTTCAAGAATCTACTTAGTCTGATCAAATATAAATTTCCTGACAGCATTTGAGATATTTTATGTTATTCTAACTTAATCTTAACTTCAACTGACTCAGATATAGAACTGCTTCTCCTGTGTAGTTTAGCATTTCAAAATTCCTTCCTCCTCCAACACCAAATATAAAAATCACCCCATAGATGTCTTAGCCTACGATAATTTCTAATTCTCTACCCAAGTTATCTAAACATTAGAATTCAGGTTAAATGGTATTTTCTTTTTAATGAGTTAAAGTATTAATTAAAATATTTCATACCCAATACTATACTACTATGTAATCCAACAGTTTTTTGTTTTTGGTCCAACCCAATAATATTTTAAGTTCTCCATTGATAAGTAAAATTGTATACCTTTTTGTCATCTTCCTTCCCATGGTGCCCAGTGTAACTGCTGAACACAAAAACTATACAAGTACAATGCATAATGATAGAGAATAAAATTATTTCTTTATATTTAGAGGTTTTCCCCTCAGTTTTACATAAAAAATATCTCACATTTAAAATGCAGTTGAAGGCAGAGAAGTAGTATGGAATTAAGATGCTGCCTTAATACATATACTACATACACTAAATACTGCCCCCTGAGCACCACCAGAAGTGAATCCTAGTCAGTCAAGAGTAAGCCCCAAATACAGCCAGGTATAACCCAATCCCACCTCCACCACCACCACTAAATGCAGTGATGATTTTTGTTTTTTCATTTTAAATATTAAAGTTAACATTATCAACTGTATATATGGAAAATCTTCTAAATTGTCTTGTGAGTGTGAGGGACAGGATATCCAAAGCAGTGCTCAGGAAAGCCGGAGGCCCCATCTGGTGATTCTTGGCCAATGGAACCAGAGGTTCAATGCAAGAACCAGAGGATACTATACTGCTCAAGCCCTGTAGGGCCCAGTATTATTCATGTCACACGACTAGTACTCCAAGGCCTTCTGGGATGTACTGGTGATGTTCAGTGGTTCACATAAGTGCTGGGGACTGAACTGCAATCAGTCACATGCAAACATTCATCTTAGTTTCTATGTAATCTCTCTGGACCCTAACCTTAATTTTAATACTTCTTGAGAATGCTGGTTTGTGGTATGAGATTTTTATATTTACTATTTCAAAGATAAACTAAATCCTATCTTTACATGCTATCTTTTTTGTTTAATCTCATAATTTTAAACTTTCAATGTTTAAAAATAAAATATCGGCAAAGATATTACTTAAAATCTTTTATTGGTTCACATCTTTTCATTGTCAAGTCCCATTTATCTAAAATATGTTATGGTAGTCTCATACATTCCTTGTGTGAATGTAACCACTTTAGTCTAAAATGCAACTCTGCAACACCCATACATGGTACAAAATAAACACAATTTATGAACTACAGTTTTGTATATGATAAAAGAATAGTTTTCTAGGTCTATGTCTGTTATAGTGCTAATTAATAAAAATTCACCTACAGCATGTAGGGTACTTGTCTTCCACACAGCCCAACCCAGATTCTATGCCCTGCATCCCATATGGTCCCCTGAGCATTGCCAGCAGTAATTCCTAAATGAAGAACCAGAAGTACCTCTGACCATCGCTGGGAGTGGCCCAAAAACAAAAACAAACCAAAAAAAACAGAGTTGTTGCTTGAAAGAGGAACATAAAGAACAGGGTTAAGAGAAAACTTAGGTTTCATTTATTGACTTTTTAAACAATAAAAATGTGATATTACTTAAAATAATTCCTTAATAAATAATAAATAAAAGGAAATAACGCTTACCGAGCTGGACAAGTAGCTTTGTAGAGTTCACAAGTCCTGTTTTCCTGTTCACAGATTTTTTTTAACTGGAAACCTTTTCTCCTTGGCCCATACTGACATTCCATTACCACAGCTCTACTCCCTGTGGGCCAAAACCAACTATTGATATTAATTTAAATAACCATCTGTTCTGGGTACTATATAAAAATGTAACTTTGTGGCAATGTCAAAATCTTTACTTAAATAACTTTAGAAAAAATAGAAAGTAAGTCTTAAGAAGTACAATCACATGAATTTATAGGTTCATTGCAGTATTTACCAAATAAACCACATTATGATAATTAGCAAATAACACACTTACTAAATGCCTACTAATACATATGGTATAACATTTAATAATAAAATTTACTTTATAGACATGTTAGCAAAGTCTATGTTTACTAATATGTACTCCACTTTTTCTTATTACAATTAATTTATTTTCACCTGATATGTTAAAATAATGTGAAAATTAGCCTCCAAAAGGATCCCGCGGGCGACTAAAACCTCATGGGAAGGGGGGCGTTCCGGTCCATCCTTCACGCCCTACCGAGGTCACCAGTTGCCCCCCGCGAACGGCTCTCCAGCACGGCCACGGCCCCAGAAGCACAAGGACTTAATGCAGAACCCGGCAGCTTGGAGCAGAAAAGTGAAAGGACTATGCGTTAATCCAGGCCATCAGGTCTGTCCGGAGGGGAAAGGTTGTTGCCCCAGTCGCCTTCTCCTCTCTGGAAAGAAAGATGGCGGCCGCATGGGAGCCTTGTGGACAGCAGGTATGAGCCGGGGGACTGGGGGCGACTAAAACCTCATGGGAAGGGAGGCGTTTCGGTCCGCCCTTCACGCCCTACCGAGGCCACCAGTTGCCCCCCACTAGCGGCTCTCCAGCACGGCCACATCTCCAGAGCACAGAAACCAATTTCTTAACTATCTGACTTTCAGTAGAAATACTTCCAGGGTCAATAAGTAAAATAGCAGAAATCCAAAACCAACATATAATTCTTGAACCCAGCTGTAGAAAGCAAATCACTTCACAATGCTTTTTCAGCATGTCTGATTTGGGGGGGGAGGGTAAACTCTAAATAATAGTGGTGAATCTTTTATTGAAACAATGAATCTAATCAAAGCAGATAGAGTGTTAAGTAGAATTCATCTGCCCCACAGGGACTGGGAGGGGTGGGGGGTGGGGTTTTATTGGGGTTCTTCATGGTAAAAAATAAGTTTTGGTAAAGGGAAATGTGTTTGATATTTGCATGACTGAGACCTAAACCTGAAAGCTTTGTAACCTTTCCCACGGTGATTCAATAAATAAATAAATAAATAAATAAAAAGGATCCCCCGGATCCCTGCCTTCTAATATTAATATTCTTGCATAATCCCCTCAATGGGAGCATGGAATAGGATTATCAATTTACTTATAATAAATATAGCAGAAGTGACAGGATGTTATTTTTAGTACAAGATTTATAAACAGGGCACCTTTTTGCCATTGATTAGACTGTGCTCTGTAAGCAATTCTGTGGTGAGTAGCCTCTTTGGAGGGAATCATATGGCAAAAACAATGCCTGCCTGAATGAGTTTAGAAGCAAATACTCTCCTAGTCAAGCCAGAGAGGACTGTAACTCCAGCCAACACCTTCCACCTTAACTGTAGTCTTATGAGAAAACCTGAAGTAAAACCCACTTTGCTAAAGTAGCTTTTGGATTCTTGACCCACAGAAATGTTAAGATAATAAATGTTATCTCCAGCCACAAGTTTGAAGTAATTTATTACATAGCAATAGATGAACAAAAATAAGTAAATGCAAAACCTATGCAGTTTAAGATTCAAATTGAGGAGCTGGAGTGATACTCCAGCAGAGAGGATACTTGCCTTGCATGAGGCTGTTCGGAGTTCAATCCCATAATGGTCCTCCGAATACCAACAGGAATGACCAGAGTAAAGAGCCAGGAATAACCTGAGCATTGATGGGTGTGCCCCTGCACCCCCCCCAAAAAAATTTCAAGTTGAGCTGAATATACTACAATATACACCATATGCTACAGTACTTTTAAAAATACAAAATAAGGTTTAGTGAGAGAACAATGGACAGGGAGCTCCCCTTGAATGCAACTGACCTGGATTTAATTCCACATATGGTTACCCAATACCTGCCAGAGTGATCCCTGAGAAGAGGTTGGTGTGGTGTGGTCAAAAACAAAAATAAAAGACCCTAATAAATTGTTGGTGCCAGGGTCAAAGCAATAGTACAGCAGGCAGGGAATTTGCCTTGCACCAAGCCAACTTGGGTTCAATCCCTGGGTATTCTGAGTCAGGGTCCCCTGAGCACCGCCAGGAGTAACTCCTGAGTACTCTGGAGTACTCTGAGATCCACCAGGTATGACCCCAAAATCACTGTATCACTGTCACTGTCATCCCGTTGTTCATTGATTTCCTTGAGCAGGCACCAGTGACGTCTCCATTCGTCCTAGTCCTGAAATTTTAGCAAGTGCCACATTGGCAGCTCTTTCAAGGTCAGGGGAATGAGACCCATCATTGTTACTGGGTTTTGGCATACTGAATACACCACGGGGAGAGCTTTCCAGACTCTGCTGTGCAGGCAGGATACTCTCGGTAGCCTGCTAGGTTCTCTGAAAGCTAGAACAAGACACTAAGCTCTTCCGGAAACTTGGTTTTATAGTCTCTGGATCTTGGCTGTTGATGGGATTGATAACATCGCTTCGGGGACAGTTGGTGGGCGTAACTGACTAGCTACTGGAAGATTGGGGAACTGGGTGGAGGAGGTCCAGTCCCGATCTGAGCAAGCTTGGAGATCTCAGTCTCAGGTCCCGCACACCTGGGTTCCTCTGCCGGTTCCTTCATGCGTGAGGCTCATCTGAGCATGTGGAGAGTGTTCTTAAGCATGGCGTGGCTGGGTTCCAGAGGTCTTCAGCTGCCGGGGCTCTGCTTGGGCCTGGGAGGGAAACTCAACCCACTCCCCGTCCAAAGGGGCCCCTGTGAAGACAGCCAGGCAATTACCATGGCTCAAGGGCTTTGCAACTGACTATGCCCGGTTTGAGATTAGAGAGAATGGATACCTGTAGTGTCTGTAAAGCTTATTGTTCCACCTCTGCATTAACTCACAGAAATCCTGTGACACCTCAAGACACTCTATGACATCTATCCCATGTAACCATAGAATTCTCCTTCCTCTTCCCATCTCATGATCTACACTTAATGCATCCTTTTCTACCACTATATAACCATTGTCCTACCCAATAAACTTTGTCCTATGACCATCAGTCTGTGACCTGCATGGATGGTATCTCTCAGCTTATCCATTGCATGCGTATCTTTGAGCCATCAGCCCTAGATCGCTTGATAGTCTGTTCCTAGGTCTCTTAGCTTGCACCGACAGCTACACTACACCACAGGGATAAAATAAGCAAATTCCAGAATATGGCAATTTTTTTTTTCTTTTTGGGTCACACCTGGCGATGCACAGGAGCTACTCCTGGCTCTGCACTCAGGAGTCACTCCTGGCGGTGCTCAGGGGACCACATGGGATGCTGTGAATCGAACCCGTGTTCGGCCGCATGCAAGGCAAACGCCCTATCCGCTGTGCTATCTCTCCAGCCCCAGAATATGGCAAACTTTACATTAAACAAACTACATGGAGAAGAAAGAAGAGAAATTTTTGGATACAAAGAAATTTAAGAGCTTTGTGAATAAAATATAATAATAACTTCTGTATCTGAATATGAACAAACAAAAAAAGGTAAGTGGAGAAATGTGAACACTGAACATTTTTAAAATTTTATTTTCTTTTTATAAAGTTGTTCACAATAATTGATTACATTCAGTATTACAACACCAATCCCACCATTAAGAGTAACCTCTGAGCAGAGTTATAAGTCCTGAGCACTGTTAAATGAAGTGCAACCCCACTCAAAAAGGAACTAAAAAGGATTGGGAGATGTTGTACTTATTTAATAGAATACTTATGAAAATTAATATTCATTTTATTTTATTTTCCTCTAAGCAATTTTCTTTATCCTCCAAAGTCCAGGATGATTTAGTATTCCAATAATCCTGATATAAGGCACTTATTTTTAATTAGTCCTATGATAAATCTGTTGGAATTTCTTCAAACTCTATTGCTTCAGTAAACATCAGTCTACTTTTAGTAACATTGTAGTCACAGAGTCATAGTACATTCAGATGGGCATCTGCCTTGCATATGACCTACTAGGGTTCAATCCCCGGTCCCCTGCACACTGCCAAGAGTGATCCCTGAATGCTAAGCTGGGAGTAAGCCCTAAGCACGGCTAGGTGTGGCCCAAAAAACAAACATACAAACAAAAAATAAAATACAACCTAACCAAAAACCACGGCAAGCAACATACCTGAGGTTATAAACTGTAATATAAGAATTCTATATAATTCTAGCTTCTAAATAGATTCTGTATAATAATTCCCAAATTATAAACTATATAAAATGAATCCAAATTTGTTCCACAAGGCAAATTAAGAAAAAAGAAGAAAGGGGCAGGGATTGAAAAAAATAATAGAGTTGTGCCTGGCCCTAATCATTGCCGGGGGTGGTCTTAGTAGTCCCCAGCAATGAACTATCCAGTTTACACAGCCAGCCTGATACTGCCAAGAGTAGGTCCCAGGCTTCCCAGCATTGCTTGGGAAGCAACACACCCATAAAAGGGGGAGGAAGAGAAAAAGAGAATATCTGGATAAAGTTTTTTAAATAATGTAATGCAGGTCAGAGAAACAGTAGTCAGGAGGGAATTTGCCTTATAAGCAGCCATGCTGGGTTTGATCTGGCACACGATATGGTTCCCCAAGCCCTGCCATGAGTGATTCCTAAATGCAGAGCCAAAAGAAGCCCTGTGCATCACTGAGTGGATAAAATAAATAAATACCAAGCACAGCTCATGGTTTAAACTATCAAGGACTGGACCTCAAAGTGTTGATGGTACAGTGACTAAGGTGCTTGCCTTGCCTGCAGCAGAATGGATTCAAACTCTGGTACCACATATTGCCCCCAGAGGTCAACAAGTGATCCCTGAGTGCACAGCCAGTAGTAAGCCTTAAACACAGTAACAGATATAGCCTCCCTCTCCCTTCACCCACCATGGCAAAAAAAAAAAGGCTGGAGCTCTTGTTTCACATGAGAAGGTCTGAGTTCAATCTCCAGCACTTCATGGTTGCCTGAGTAACTGGGAGCAATACCTGAACAAGCTGGGAGTAAACCATGAGCACCTTCAGGTGTGTCCCCAAAATAAAAATGTAAATAAAATCAATGCAATTTTTAAATAAGTCCAAATTTATAATCTCTTAAAGTAACAAAATAATACTATATAGGCCTATCAATGTCCATATTTTAAACTGAAATTGAATTAAGTTACTTGAATATTCTAATTTCAATATTTTATCTTCTACTTATTACAATATTGAAAAATAATATCTACTTATCAGTACATTTTAATAACAAAAAATAATAGACCATGAAAAGATAAAACAATGGTTGTATTTGTTACAAAATGTCATACTAATTATTATTTTTCATGTCAGGATCAAGCCCAATGGCTCGCACATGCAAAGCATGTGTTTACCACTGAGTTTCACAGAAGACAATATATATTTCTTTTTACTTAAATATGCATTTACATCTGTTAAGTTATGATCTATAAAAATAACAACCTTAGGAAACACAAAAATGTATCATTGTTAGAAAACCACATCTTCTCAATGAATCCTGGTTGCTGCTGAACCTTTTAAAATAATTATTTTAGGAACTTTAATGATAGTAAAGTGAGTAGGGTGTTTGGCTTGCACACTGGTTGACCTGAATTCTATCCTCGGCATTCAAGAGCACTGCCAGGAGTAATTCCTGAGTGCAGAGTCAGGAGTAACTCCTGAGTATCGCCAGGTGTGACCCAAAAAGATCAATCAACCAACCAATCAATAAAATAACTATTTTTAAAAGTACCTGAATTGACAAATGGAATTCCATCATATGGAACATACTGTGATTTCCACATCAAGCGTGTAGCTGGCTTGGCTGGGCTTGGAGATTGGCGGGTCCCCCAAACACTCTTTGTTTGCTGCTTGTGAAAAGTTAGAACACTTTCTAGTTCACTTTCACTAACACAGTAGCCACGGTATGAATCTCCAATTCTCTGTAAAGAAATAAATAACAAAATTACTAGCTAATGTTTCACTGCAAAAAAAAAATTTGGTTTATAAGTAGAAGAGAGGCATGGTATGCTCCCTAAAGGTCACAGTCACGGTCACGGACCTCCTGTTATTCATCGATTTGCTTGAGCGGGCCCAGCTTGCATGTGGCATAGTGATGCCTGAGAACAGAACCAGGAGTAGCACCAAGTAATGCCAGTTTTCTGAGCACCACTGATGCAACCTAAACTCCACCCCCATCCCACCTACAAAAAACAGGCAATTTGAGATGAATCATAATAAATGAAGATAGGTAAGAAAAAGATAGGCAAACTTTTGTTTTGTTTGGGGCATGACCTGAGCACCAGGGCTTACTCCTGGCTCTGTACTCAGAAGTCATCCCTGGCTATGCTTGTGGAACCATATGTGATATCAGAGATCAAAGCTGGGTCAGCCATATACAAGGCAAGTGGCTTACCCGTTACACTATCTCTGTGAACCCAATAATTATAATAATAATGATAATCGGTAATGGTCACGGTCCTCCCATTGTTCATTGATTTGCTCGAGTGGGCCCAGTAACATCTCCATTGTGAGACTTGGTTGTTACTGTGTTTGGCATATCGAATACGTCACGGGGAGCTTGCCAAGCTTTGCCATGCGGGTGAGATACTCTCAGTAGCTTGCCGGGCTCTCCGAGAGGGGCGGAGGAATCGAACTCAGGTGGGCCATGTTGGCTGCACGCAAGGCAAACGCCTTACCCGCTGTGCTATCGCTCCAGCCCAGTAATGATAATAATAATACAATAATGATGATGATGACTGTCCTCCCGTTGTTCATCGATTTGCTCGAGCAGGACCAGTAATGTCTCCATTGTGAGACTTGTTGTTACTGTGTTTGGCATATCAAATACATCATGGGTAGCTTGTCAGGTTTTGCCGTGGGGGCAAGATACTCTCGGCAGCTTGCCAGGCTCTCCGAGAGGGGCGGAGGAATCCAACTCAGGTCGGTCAAGCTGGCCGCATGCAAGGCAAATGCCCTACCGCTGTGCTATTGCTCCAGCCCGATGATGATGACAAGTCATTATAATTATATTCATTCTGTAATATTTAATATGTATGTAATTACTTATAAATGTAAATTTTATAAATATAAGTATAAATATTTATACATTTATTTTCATTTATATATTTTATCTATGTTTAAATATTAAAATATTTAGATATGTTTGTCATTATATATTTATTTTAATTATGTTAATAATTGTTCCCACACGGCAGAGCCTGGCAAGCTCCCCGTGGCGTATTCAGTATGCCAAAAACAGTAACAACAAGTCTCACAATGGAGAAGTTACTGGTGCCCGCTCAAGCAAACTGATGTATAACAGGATAGTGCTACAGTGTGCTTAATAACTGTTATGAGTACTGTATTATAATTATTAATAATAGTTATTATTTGGTTTAGGGGGTCACAGTCAGCGATGCTCAGGGGTTACTACTGACTCTGTATTAAGAAATTACTCCTGGTGGTGCTTGGGTAAACATATGGGATGTCAGGGACCAAATCGGGGTCAGTTTGTGCAAGTCAAGCACCTTACCTGCTGTACTAAATCTCTAGCACTCCAAGAATTAATATTAACTTACCTGGCAGCTCCTAAGACGACAGGCCCAAATGGGTGTGTTGGATGTGAGTGTCTGGAGAGGAGCCAGAGAGGGTTCTTCAACCATTCTGAGAAAGAGGAGGAATATAACTACTTATTGATTAAATTATCTTCTTTAATCATTATTAATTTACTAACTGCTACATCACAATACTAAATTTGTTCTTCTAAATGACACTAGTCCCACTAAATTTAAGGATTAAATTCGTAGCTTAATGGGTGGGCTCAGTACAGTGCTGCATGCCAGAGCCTGGGCTAGATTTCTTACTTCAGACACTCTCCTGAGCTCTACCAGGAGACAAGCACAAAAGCTGGTATTAAGGAAACAAACAAAAAAGAAATTTTAGTAATTTGGAAGAGTAACCCATATATATGTGTTAATATACATCTTGTATTACATAATACAAAATCATGTAATACATAATACAAAGATATTATGTCAAGTTCTAACACTAAATGTCATAAAATTCTGGTTAATTACAAAATATTTTCATAGAAAGTAAAATACAAAATCATGTTTATATTTCACTTGTTGTTATAATCAACATTATTTTAGGCAAACGTAAAAGCTGAAAACTATGTTCACAAAAAAATATTCTAAGGACCGAAGTAACCTGGGGATCCCCCGGCATCCCATATGGTCCCCTGAGCACTGCCAGGAATAATTCCTGAGTGCAGAGGCAGGAGTAACCCCTGAGCATCACCATGTGTGACCCCAAAAAAGTCCAAGAAAATAAAAATAATAAAAAATATTCTAAATCCCACCACAGAGGAATTGAATAAATGGTAATAGGATTATGAAATATTTTAAAATCTTAGGAACTGAAGTGGATACTTCTTTATTCCAAAAACTCTGTTAGTGGAGCCAAGAGGTAGCCCAGCAAGCTGGAGCACACACTTTGCATGTGTGGAGGCCCATGTTTAATCTCTGAAATCACATATTTCCTAAGCACCACCAGGAGACAGCTGAGTGTGGCTCTCAAATAAATAAATATCTCAATAAAAGCCCTATTAGTGCCAGATTATTTCAGACTGTGTCAAAAGATCAGAGTTAACTTAGCTATTTAGACAAAGAGTTTCTTCCTTGGTAAAAAGCCATTTACTAGCCTTTTTGTTTGTTTTGTTTAGGCCACACCCAGTGATACTCAGGGGTGATTCCTGGCTCTGATTTCATGAATTACTCCTGCTAGTTCTTTCCACCATATAGGATGCTGGAGAATCGAACCTGGATCAGCCTGTGCAAGGCAAGCACCCTACCCATTGTACTATCTCTCCAACCCTGTTAAAATGTCATTTAAAATAATTAAAGAAATATTTGCTGGGGCTGGAGTGATAGCACAGCAGGTAGGGTGTTTGTCTTGCACGCGGCCTGATCTAGGCTCGATTCCCAGCATCCCATATGGTCCCCTGAGCATGGCCAGGAATAATTCCTGAGTGCATGAACCAGGAATAACCCCTGTGCATCGCTGGGTGTGACCCAAAAAGAAAAAAAAAGATATGTTTGCTAACAGTTTATTCTCTCATAACTTTCTGATCTTTTCTAAAGTCAGCTTTAGATGTGGTGATTTTAAAAGTATTTTCATGGTTATATCAAAAGATGAGCTCTTATCTTCCACTGACTCACTCTGTTGTTGTCTCTTTGGGCGGTGTGAGGGATTCTTGTGGATGAAGAATGTAAGTACTGGTACTGTCTCCTAGAGTACCCCCTCCTACATTTGGTACAACTTCATCACTGGATTTCTCTTTAGAGACATCTTAATAATACAAAAACAAAAGCATTAATAACTTGAATAAAACCATGAGACTATAACTAAGTAGAATTTATACATTGATAAACAAAGGGGAGATAAACTCTGAAATTAAACAAAACTTACAATGCTTTACTGAGATTCACTCTGCTAAATTTACTTTCAAAATATAATACAGAACACCAAAATCTTACAATTAAGTTTTCATAACTCGTACTGAACATCTAGAATAGTAAGTGTGAAATAATTATTATGTAAAAAGTTTCACAATAGGAAAATGTGAAACTAAAATATTTTGGTGTTATGGCATGTTTATAAATGTTTTATGCAAACCTTTTCCCTAAAATTTTAATAACTCAAAAAAGACAAGGAATCAAATCAAAAAGGTAAAAAAAATTCCCCTCTATCAGTTGCTATAAAAAGCAACTAAACAGTGTAGCAACTAAACAGTGTAGTTCTGATCTTAGAAAAGAGGTTCAAACAGATGTAAAGCGAAGGGAAGACAACTAATAGGAATTTATCAAATAAGTAAAGAACAAAAAACAAACAGGTAAGATTACTCCCCTTTTTTGATACTGAGGGGTCAAAGAAAAGAGAAAAGGGATGAAAAGAATAGTTAAAAACGGTGAAATATTTAACAATATTGACAAAACACAAACGTAAAAACTTTTCCAATAGCTACTAGCACTATATTGTTATTATAGCTGTTATAAATACTATTATAATTAATAAGAATTTATTTTATGCTCACTGGTCATTTGGGAGGAAGAAAGTCAACCAGCTTCATAGAATTCCAAAATGAAATAGACTGCTAACCTAGATAGGAGTTGAAAAATGAACTTGAAATTTATTTGGGCCAAGAAATTTTTTTCTAATTATTCAGTTCAGAATCTTAACTAAAGAGATCAATCTTATAACTGCTTATATGGGTAATGTTTTCCTTCAGAATATTTCCAAATTCTGCATGCCCATTACTACTTACCCTGAGAAATATTCACATCCAAAAGTTGCCCCTGAGGTATGATTACTTGTGCCACTTCTGTCTGGGTAGATGGAATTACATGAAGTACTTGCCCATCATTTTCTGATGGGCTGGCAACAATCATCTTGGAAGCATTAAAACAAACCAAAAAAAAGGAAATAATAAACCTGTAATTATTTAACAATTATTTCTCAAATCATCAGACATGTCTAGCTCTACAGTGAATATTATAATTTTCTTTATTTTATAGATTTAAACATGAGGTACATAAAAAATATTCCCAACATCTCACAGATGGTATTTAAAAACAGGATACAAAAGAGACAGCTTGACACAAAAATTTGTAAGTCTACAACTGCACCTCATGGTGTTTCACTAATAAAAATTTAAAAGAAAAAATAGACAGCTTGAATTTACAGCCTATGATCTTAGTTACTTTTGATTTAACTCATTACTTAATTATATAATAATCAAAAAAAGGCTTGGATTACACCGTATATTATTTATATCTGCTCACTGTATTATCCATGTGTTCGGTCACTTTATGCAGCACTTGTCCTACATTGTAAGTCATTTTTATGGGTTGAAAACATATCATTGTACCATTTTTAATTAAACAAAACTTTTTTTTTAATTGTTGTTTTTTGGTTTGGGGCGACACCTGGTGTGCTCAGGCGTTACTCTGGGCTTTACACTCAAGAATCACTCCTAGCAGTGCTTAAGGGGTCATATGGGATACTGCATCAAACCCATCTCCACCAACCCACCTCCCAAAAAAGCAAAGTAGATTCCTCTGCACATAAGCATTACCGAGAAATTAAGAGTAAAAAGTGTTTCTCTCCTCAAATGTTTATCAAGTTTCTTAAGATAAAAATATCTTCCCATACCTCGTCACTACATGAAAAAGCTGCTGTAAACTTCTGATGGTTACCTTTCACTACATGTACATGAAATATATACATTTTATTCATTAGGATACTGTCACACCATTACAAAACTTATGTGAAAAAATTAAACTATAACAAATAGAGCACCTCATATACTAGGTAATGTAAACAAGGTATACTATGGGTAAGTTAAAATTAAAAACTAAGAAATCTAACTCTCAACTAGGAATCTATACTGCCTCCATTATTAGACAATGATACTTAAAGAAAATAACACAAATATCCTGAAACAGTGATATTATGGATATTTTAAGTTCTTTACTCCATAAAATTAGATGAAATACTATAAAAAATTTTATTCTTTATTAAAAAATATGCTATAGTTGTTTAAAAAAACAAATAACATATATAATACTCTAAAATTTACCAAATCAAATTAAATTTTCATCATTAAGGCTGATCCTTAGAATATCATCTTAATTTTGAAACTTTTCTAACAGCAGAGGAGAGTATCGTTCATTTTCTTTAAGCTGGCACCTAAAAAACTATTTCAGTTCTTGAACTTGACAATGGTGATATGACTATCCCTGTTAAAAAAAAAAGAACTAATTCACTTTGCTATGAAAACATAATTTTGAAGCCACTTGCTGCAATTTGAGGCACATCATGAGCATTATCAGAAAAACTGACTAATAAGGAAATAAGAAAAATTGGCTAATGTGTCGATTGTTACTATATAGTAACAACTTAATCAACACATTAGCCAATATATATGTATACACACATAATTTTTTTAATATGTGGGCCACGCCTGGAGATGCTCAGAGGTTACTCCTGGCTCTGTGGCTCAGAAATCTCTCCTGGAGGTGTTCAGGGGACCATGTGGGATGCCTTGGATTAAATACAGGTTAGCCACATGCAAGGCTGTACTATCTCTCCAGTTTTTAAAAAATAAACCTCCAGATTTTAATAAATCCAAAATGCTATCCATGTTCTCACCAAACCCTCTCCAAGCAACTGATTTTACCTTTTTTTATAAGCTATTAGATTCTCCTATTACATAGAAAAAATTTTAAAAGCTATTTCTTTCAAAAATCTCTACTTTTTCAAGGATGTTGATAATGAAGAAAACTATGCATTTGTGGGGGAGAAAGGTGTCTATGGGAAATCTCTGAATCCCCTGCTCAACTTTGTTGTAAACTTGAAATTGCTTTAAAGTATATTAGAACAAAAACACGTAAAGTTTTACTAAATTTCCTGTAATTTCACTAATCCTGATTTTTAGTTCTTTGAGAAAAGTATCTTAAAACTGCATCTGAAATTTATTCCCATGCTTCATGTCACATTTCCTATTTCATACTCAAATAACTATTTGTATAATTTTCCAAACCAAATGTAAAATCACACTCTGGATAAAGGTAAAGGCCCTCCCGTTGATTGTCGATTTGCTCGAGCGGGCCCAGTAACATCTCCATTGGAGACTTTGTTGTTACTGTGTCTGGCATATCCAATACTCTCGGTAGCTTGCCGGGCTCTCGGAGAGGGGCGGAGGAATCGAACTCGGGTTGGCCATGTTGGCCGCTTGTAAGGCGAACGCCCTACCCGCTGTGCTATCGCTCCAGCCCCACACTCTGGATAACAATATAATTTAAAAAAGAATGAGATCCCTTTTTGAGAAGAAAGCAAACAATTACTTTTTACTTGTTCGTTCACATCTAGATTACTTGTATGTTCACTGTATCATTGTCATCCTGTTGGTCATTGACTGCCTCAAGCAGGCCCCAGTAACGTCTCCTTCGTCCTAGCCCTGAGACTTTATAAAGTGCCACATTTGAGGCTCTTTCAGGGTCAGGAGAATGAGACCCATCATAGTTACTGGTTTTTGGCATACTGAATACGCCATGGGGCGTTTGCCACTCTGCCGTGTGGGCAGGATACTTTCAGTAGCCTGCCAGGTTCTCCAGAGTAAGACCTAGATAATAAGATGTCCTGCAGCCACACGGCGGCGTGCTTCTGGGAGCAGGGCTTTATAGTCTTTGGGTTTTGGCCATTGATGGGATTACACGGTGCCGGGGGCAGCTGGTGGGTGTTAACGCCTGGAAGATGGGGATCTGGGTGGAGGAGGCCCCAGTCCCAATCCGAGCAGACTTGGAGATCTATGCCCCGGGTCCCGCACACCTGGACTCCTCTGCCGGTTCCTTCATGCGTGAGGCTCGTCTGAACGTGTGGAGAGTGGTCTTAAGCTTGGCTGTGGCTGGAACCGGAGGTCTTCAGGCAGGGGCTCTGCTCGAGATGGGGAGGGAAACTCAACCCACCCTCCTCCAAGGGGTCCCAGTGAGGACAGCCATACAAGACAACTTGTATGTTAATCAATCTTTACTAAGATGAAGTGTGGTTACCCTTAGTTCCATTCGTTTATCTTGCTTCCACTTGTTTGGCCAGTGATGTTTCATCCCTGAAGGTGCTTTAACTTCAATGTCATAAAGAATTCTGCTTACATTTTCCTCTATGTACCTTACTGATTCAGGTTTGATAATGAGGTATTCATCTATTTACATTTGACTTTTGTGCACGGCATTAGAAAAAAGTTTAGTTTTTTGCATGTAGCTGCCAGTTTTCCCAGTACCATTTATTGAAGAGGTTTTATTTAGTCCACTTCATATTTCTTGCTCCTTTATGAAAAATTAAATGATTATATACTTGAAACCTGTCTCAGGACATTCAACTTTACTCCCCTGATCTGAGGGTCTGTCTTCATTCCAATACCATGCTGTTTAATTACTCAGCTGTGTACACAGTTTGAAGTTTAGGAAGATTATGCCTTCCATCTTCTTTTTCCCAAGGACTGTCTGAACTATTTGTGACAGTTTATTGTCCAATGGGCTGGAGCAATAGCACAGCGGGTAAGGTTTTTGCCTTGCATGTGGCCAATCCGGGTTCTATTCCTCTGCCCCTCTCAGAGAGCCCAGCAAGCTACCAAGAGTACCCTGCCCACACGGCAAAGCCTGGCAAGCTACCCGTGACGTATTTAATATGACAAGAACAGTAACAAGTCTCACAAGTTGTTGCGAGATGTTACTGGTACCCGCTCGAGCAAATCAATGAACAATGGGAGGACAGTGCTATAGTATTATCCAATATGAATTTCAGGAGTATTGATGTATTTTTCTGAAAAATGTCATGGACATCCTAATTCAGACTGCACTGAATCTGTACAATGTCTTGAGAAACACAGACATTTGATGACGTTAACCCTCCCAGTCCATGAGCAGGAGATGGTTTCTTTTTCCTTTGTTTCTATTTCGTCATGTCTTTTTTTTTTTTTTTTTTTTTGGCTTTTTGGGTCATACCCGGTAATGCACAGGGGTTACTCCTGGTGGTGCTCAGGGGACTATATGGGATGCTGGGAATCAAACACAGACTGGCAGAGTGCAAGGCAAACTCCCTGTCCAGTGTGCTATGGCTCCAGCCCTGTATTTTTTGATACAGTGTTTTGTAGGTTACTTTGTATAGGTCTTTCATTCCTTCAGTTAAGCTAATTCTGAGGTCTTCTTTGCCAGCCAGGAGTATTTCTTGAATGCAGAGCCATCTGATTTTCTGAGGCGCAATTGTGAATGGATTGTTTATTTAATACCTCTTTATTCTTTTTCTGGAGTGATAGCACAGTTGGTAGGGCGTTTGCCTTGCACGCAGCCGACCGAGGTTTGATTCCTCCGCCCTTCTCAGAAAGCCCGGCAAGCTACCAAGAATATCTCACCCGCACGGCAAAGCCTGGCAAGCTCCCCGTGATGTATTCGATATGCCAAAGACAGTAACAAGTCTCACAATTTGTTGTGAGACGTTACTGGTGCCCACTCAAGCAAATCGATGAACAACGGGAGGACAGTGCTATAGACAGGCTATTCTTTTTCATTATTTGTATATATATAAAAGCCATGGAATTTGGCATATTAATTTTATAAGCTGCCACATTACTATACAAATATATTGTTTATAGGAGCTTTTATGAAGTCTTTAGGATTTTTTAAATATAAGAGATTCATTATTCTTCATAATATGGGCAGCTTACTGATTTTTCTTTGTAATTTAAACGTTTCAATCAAAAAATAAAAATTTCAATCAAAACCATCTTGGACCTCTTCTACAGAAACTTGGTCAAAAAAACAACCAAAAACTGTAAAGCATCTTTACCCATTGTTACTTACTAGAAACAAACTTAATTTAAAGATCAGTAAGGGTATGCCAAATTCACAGAATACCACTGGAATGTCTTTCCATCTTCGTAAATTTGAGAACATACCTCAATAGTACTTGAGATATCATGGGGTGTCAGTGGCTGATTCTGGACCTCTAGCACACAAAGCATCCACTCTAATGCACTAAACTATGTTTTTTAAAGCTATTTTTCATTTTAAGAAAGTATACCATGATTGGGCCAGAAAAATAGTACCGTGAGTAGGGCATTTGCAGGCAGCTAAGCTATATTCAATCCCTAGCATCCTTTATGGTCTTGTAAGCCTGCCAGGAGTATTTCCTGACTGCAGAGCCAGGAGGAATCTATGAGCACCACTGGTTGTAGTCCAAACACACACACACACACACACACACACACACACACACACACGCGCGCGCGCACGCGCGCACAAAAAAAATACACCATTGTCTGGAAAGAAGCTCAATGGGTTGGAGTACATGATGTAAAGGATGGAAAGTTTCAATCCCCGACACCAAAAGAAGTAACCCAAAGCAACACACTAGAAATAAACCCTAAACACTGCTGGGTAGGACCCCAAAAGAAAAATTATATTATGTAACATATAACTTACATATCAATGGTAGATTTGATTAAGCAGTAACTGGGTTAAATCAAATGTAGACATAGTGTGTAAATTCTTGTGTGTTAGCATTCATTGCAGATTATATTTCCAACTGATCTTAAAGCCCATTTTCCTAAATTAAGGCAGCAGTGGTGCAATAAAAATTTTTCAAAAGGGAACCAGAGCACTATTCAACATGTAGGGCAGCTTGTCTTACATGCAGCTAACCTGGGTTCAGTCCCTGCCATCCCATATTGTCCCCCAAGCCTGCCAGGAGTAATTACTGAGTGCAGAGCCAGGAGTAATCTGAGACCACCTGAGGTTGTGGCCCATAAAACAAAAACAAAAATTAAGAAAAGACAAAACAGTAGCTGATCTGGGTTTGATCCCTGGTACGACATATGGACTCCTAGTCACTTCAGGAATGATCCCTGAATAAAGAGCAAGGAGTAAGCCCTGAACACCACCAAGTGTGGCCTGAAAAAAGAGAGAGAGAGAGAGAGAGAGAGAGAGAGAGAGAAATAGTACTATCTGCAATCTTAAAAGGAAGCCTTTTTAAATTCTTATATAATGGCGTGGCCTTGAGAAATAGTACAGAGGGGAAGTTTCCTTGCACTACCCAGTCATATCCGAGTACAGAATCAGAAGTAGCATCCCTAAATGGCAGAGTATAACTCAAAATAAAATAAAATAAAATCCTTACACAACTATAAAATGAATGTTACAGAAACAATATATTCAAAGCAATTTACATCAATAGTATCACAAAATTAAGGTCATCTAGTAAAGAATAGTAACACAGCATTAAAGCACTGTCCTCCCATTGTTCATCGATTTGCCCATGCAGGCACCAGTAACGTCTCCATTGTGAGACTTGTTGTTACTGTTTTTGGCATATCAAGTATGCCGCAGGGAGCATGCCAGGCTCTGCTGTGCGGGTGGGATACTCACCCTAGCTTGCCGGGTTCTCCGAGTGGGGTGGAGGAATTTAACCCGGGTCAGTCTCATGCAAGGCAAACACCTAACCGCTGTGCTATCGCTCAACCCAACACAGTAGTCATATCACAAAATTAAGGTCATCTCGTAAGACTAACACATAGCATTAAACTAGCTATTTGTAAAATATACCTACCGATGATGTGTTAGAATCCTCCAATGGCGGAAGTTCATTTTGAATAGGTTGCCCATTTTGGTCAACCAGATCAAATTGCTCTGCAGAAAGAGTTTGTGTCTGAGTCAGAGTCTGTGATGTCAGTGAATTATGTGCTTCATGAGTAATTGTGGGTAACAAAACTTCAGAAGAACTGTTTTGTTCAAAGGAAAGATCTCCGGAGTCCATACAGGTTAGCTTTGACAAAGAAAAGAAAAATCACTTGGATGTTAGTAAAATATAATGTCACTATATTATAAAAAAATCTATTTTTTAAGGTTTATAATTAAAAGTGAGACTTTTTTACCTAATTCATTTTTCTTTTTTTTTTTCTCTTTGGGTCACACCCGGCAATGCATAGGGATTACTCCTGGCTCTGCACTCAGGAATTACTCCTGGCGGTGCTCAGGGGACCATATGGGATGCTGGGAATTGAACCCAGGACAGCCATGTGCAAGGCAAACGCCCTACCCGCTGTGCTATGGCTCCAGCCCCTACCTAATTCATTTCTGCAAAAGTTGTCAATTAGCACAGAATAATATATATATATATAAATCATTTCCTAGGTAAAATTATTCATTATTATGTTTTATTTCAACTGGCAGAATTAAAATTGTCCATGAGAATGCAAACTAAAATGGTTAACTAACCACATTTTCTTTACATGTAAATTATATGCACATTCAGAAAAGCACTGTAGCACTGTCCTCCCATTGTTCATCGATTTGCTCGAGCGGGCCCAGTAACGTCTCCATGGTGAGACTTGTTGTTACTGTGTTTGGCATATTGAATATGTCACGGGTAGCTTGCTAGACTTTGCTGTGCAGGAGAAATACTCTCGGTAGGTTGCAGGCTCTCCAAGAGGGTCAGAAAAGCACTATATGAAAAATTTATATATGATAGTGTGTATAAAGTTAAAATTCTTTAATACTTAAAATGTAACAGTAATTATTAGGCATAAAAAGTCACTGACTAGGGACTGGGCTGATTGCTCAGGTGTTTGTCTTATAAGCAGTCATCCCTGCTTCAATCCCTAGCACCACATATGGCTTCCAAAGCAAAGCCTGAGCACAGAGCCAGGAATAAGCCCTGAGTACTGGTGGGTACTCTCCCCAACTCTCAAAAAACTCACTAAATAGAATGTTGTTTCTCCCCCAACTTAATTCCCACCTCAGGGGGTATGTACACCTGTGGGGCAAGTACATCAGCAGCCTGATGGCGCCTTCTCCCCCAAAATTGCCGTGGTGCCTTTGGCTGGACCTCAATAACTTGGGGCCAAGTTTAACAAGAAATTAAATGGTCAAAACTTAGGTATATGGGAGCCATGCCCACAAACCACCATCAGCTTAGCTACACAAGCTCATATATTGGCCTTATTTTAGAGACCCATAAATCTCGAAAGAGATCAAAAGCCACAGTTAATTTCGGACCAACACATGGCTGAACAAACTAGGGTAAATTGGAGGGTGTGGGTTGGCCTGGGGCCCATCCAAGCAGAGTTCTCAGCAGACGCTTGCTTCCACAATCCAAAATCATCGCCATACCCCGGCCTGACTCCACCATCTCACGATGGACCTTACCAAGATATAATCTGCTGGAAATTGAGGTATTTGGTCTTTTTGACTGAAATTTGACTCCAGACTTCCTCAGAATTATAATGGGCTACCTTCCCCCACGTCCCTGTACTTCAGGAAGCTTCAACAGTCACATCCATACCCCAAAGCTGCCAACCAATGGAAAAGCTACTCCAGCATTATCATCTCAATAAAAATACCGAATGCCCTAAACAAACACCATGACCTCTTAGCAACCGTACTGCAAATCATAATGCACAAAAGAAAAAGGAAAGAGAGAGCAAGAAGGAACAACCTCCCATAGAGGGAAGCTGGGGTAGGGGAGGGGTTTTGGGGGACGGTGGTAGGGAAACGGGGCACTGGTGGTGGGAAAAGTACAATGGTGGATGATGGGTGCTGGATCACTGTATGACTGAAACCCAACTATGAACAGCTTCATTAATGGTCTATCTCATGAATATTCAATTAAAATTTTTTTTTAAAAAAGTAATATGGAGTTCATGCCCAAATAAATCAGCTTAATCAATGGCTGAATAAAGAGCAGTACTCATACATTAAAAAAAAATTCCCACCTCAAACACTGCAGACTCTCCTTTTGAATCTTTGGAATCATTATGGTTGACTCCTAATGAATCCGACTGTTCCATATTGATGTCATATTCAATTCCATTTTCTTCTACTATTTAATAACTGAAAGAATTTAAGCACGTGATCAAAGCACTTAATATTTCTATTAAAATTTTTTCTAAATCTACCATTTCCCCTCAGGCAATTAACCTATATAATTTCAGCTTAAATCATTTGTATTTCATAGATAAGAAAATAAACATTTTCACTAAATGACATATCAATGCATCAAGATCAATTTAAGACATAGCAAAAATTAGTGTTGCATAATTTCCTCCTAACTTTAATTAACTTGTGTATTGACATATTAAGATTAATATTATAGAGGCTGATATGTGTCTGACCCTAGTTTCATCCCAGGTATCACATGATCATCCAGGCACTGCTGCATGTGGCCCTGGAGGTCACTGAGTGTACCACTAAAGTGGTCTTGGTGTTGCCTGGCAATGCTGAGTCCTATCATTGAACCAATGTTGGGCAATACCTCCAGAAGTGGCCACTGAACTCCTGAGCACTGCATGAGAACAAACTTCTGCTACATGAAAGGCACCTACACACTTTAAAATCTTTTTAAGTACAAAAATTTTTATTCTACCAAAAATACAGATAATATATATTTCTTCCCTTTAGTAACCTATTGTAGTAAAAATTTTTGAAAAGATCTCTTGATGTATGGATATCATTAATGCACAACTCTTACCAAAATATACAACCATGGAATTTAATAATGGCTTGACAAGCTTTGAAAGTGAAGAAGTAGGTATTCCCAGAATTTTAAGCTACACAAGGTTGAGTATTATTGTCTTTGTTTTGGGTTAGCTTCCCGCAGTGCTGAGGATCCCTCATGCAAAGCTTGTGCTCCAGCACTCAGACCATCTCCCAGGCGTGGATCTTAATTGGTATGGTTGTATGATATGAACACACACATACTTCATTAACCAGAGGATTACTGTACAATGTTTAGAGATATTTTTGGTTGTCACAAGTAGGAGGAAAAATGTTGATATCTAACGGCTTGGCAAACTGTTAAACAACTTACAATGCACAAGGAAGACCCAACAACAAAGATACTAATGGTGTTGTTTCTGAAACTCTGGCTTAGTATATTAGAATTACTATTAGATTCTATGTTTTCTATTAGGAATGACGTTTTACATCTCAAAGTTGGAGTAAAGTCAAAAAAAGAAGTTGGTAAAAAAACTATTTAAAAATTTTATTATGTCCGGGACACCCCAGAGAGGGGCAGGTTAAGCCCCTTCCCACCCTAAGGGACCCAGCCCCAGCAGCAGAAAATCTCCAGAACTAAACCACCACCATGCTCATGACCACTCTCCATCTACTCGAGTCAAGCCTTACCCATGAGTGAACATATTCCTGGGCCGCGCAGCTGTGACATGTCATATATCACACCACTCATATTCCAAGAGTAGCACACCACATTTGATGGGGTTTAAAGTAGAAGCTAACTAATTTTAGAAATAATTTTTACACACATATATTACACACGTATTACTAACATGTTGTACAACATGTTAGTAATCTCTTTTAGAGGGTTTAATGGCCCCTTTGTGAAATACAACAATTTTCACACACTTTCCTCTAAGGAAACTTTTTGGAGCATTTTCAGCAGTTTGTTCATAATAAACAATACCAAATAAATTATTTCGGTTCTGCTTTGGGGCAGGGGTTGGGGTTCAAGATGGAAACATCCAAAATACGATGGTACAAAGTTGTAATAGTGGTGGGACTGGTGTTCAAATATTAAATGTAATCAAATACCATGAACTACTTTATAAAAATAAAATACAATTAAAAAATTTAATATGACTGTCAGAGTGTCTTCCTAAGAACTAGTCTACTTAGAGCTAGAGGAATAATACAGCAGGTAGGGAGCAACACTAGAGTCTACTTTTAAATGTGAGTTGCAAGAACTATCAGGAGTCAGGTCACATAACAGAAAGTGGAAAAAAAACTGTTTTGGAAGTTATAAAGACTGGGAAAATAATACAGCATATAAGTTGCTTGTGTTGCACACAGCTAACCCAGTTCGGTTCATCAGAAACCCATATGGTCCCCAGAGCTTCTCCAGGAGTGATCCCCAAGGACAACAAAAAATGCCCTCCCAAAATAACCTTAAAAAACAAATTAAAAAATTTAAGAAGTCCAGGCTTAGGAGTAATGAATCCCAAAAACTTACTCCCAGTTTTCTACTGGGTTCTCCAATTCCACTACAATTGGGTGTATTCTATAGATATAAGATAGACATCTACAGAATACCTATAAGATTTTTTTAGAGTTTGGGAGCCATAACCAGCATTGCTTAGGGCTCATTGATCTGTGCCCTCAAGGAACACTCCTGGAGATAAGCAATAAGACCATATATGATACAGGGGATCAAACTGGGATCAGTCACATATAAAGCAGATGCATTATTAGATATTATCATCATCTTTCCAGTCTAGGACTACTTTTTTTAAACTTTTCCATTTACCCTTTCCTCTCTTACCTGAAAATGTCAGATGAATAATCAATGAAATTTTCATTTGGAGGTAAAAAGCATTTTTCTCTTAAAAAGAAACTCTTGGGCTAAAAAGACAACAAAGAAAGTTAAGACACTTGACATGCATGTAGCCAACACTGGTTTGATTTCATCACCACAATGTCTCCTGAATACTGTCAGGAGCAACCCCCAAACACAGTGTCAGTATCCTCCCTGAGCACCATTGCTATGGCCCCAAAACCCAGAAGAGTAAATTTTTAAAAATTTTATTTATTTATTTTTTGCTTTTTGGGTCACAGCCAGCGATGCTCAGGAGTTACTCCTGCCTCTGCACTCAGGAATTACATTTGGAGGTGCTTGGGGGACCATATGGGATGCCAGGAATTGAACCTGGGTCAGTCGCATGTAAGGCAAATGCCCTACCTGCTGTAGTATTGCTCCAGTGACAATATATTTTAAATAATTTTTTTTAAATGAATAGCGGTTAGAGATAATATAGGGGGCAAAGTGCTTGCCATACAAATGACTGGCCAGTTTAATCCCTAACAGATTTGATTCCTGGAACCACAAACTGTCCCATGAGAACTGCCAGGACTGGTTCCTGAACACAGCAGAGGTAGGTGTGGTCAAACCACACCAAGCTCCTAACCCCCCAAGATAAATAAGGTTTTAAAAAGAGAACACTCTGGCCAGTGTAAGTGATTAATAAATTTGAATAGAAATATATGATGGTAGCTTTCTTCCTTTAAGGTGAGTCAAAACTGCTATCCTGTAGTGGCTGGAGCAATAGCCCAGCAGGTAGGGAGTTTGCCTTGCATGCAGCCGACCTAGGTTCGATTCCCAGCATCCCATATGGTCCCCCGAGCACCGCCAGGAGTAATTCCTGAGTGCATGAACCAGGAGTAACTCCTGCTCATCGCCAGGTGTGACCCAAAAAGAAAAAAAAAAACTGTTATCCTGTAAATCTAAATTTGGAAATAAGAAGCAAGTACATTTCATGGTTCAGAGCACTTAAGTGGGAGTCAGCAGGCTAGAGCTCAGTATGAAGTAAAGATGATGGGCAGGATGAACATCTCTGGGGAGTATTCTAGTGAGATTATGTCGACGGAGAAAGATCACCAAAAGAGAAATAACGTACTTCGGAATTTTGCCCAGATTGGGATTTACCAATGGAAGAAAGCTGATTTTTTAATATGGGCTTATGGAAACTAAAACTCAAAATTTTCCTTTCAGCATATATAGTAGAGCATGAACACTGAGTTAAACAGCTTTTGTGGTTACACTGGGAAAATACTAAAATTTCTATGTCAAAAAATGAGACCTAACTCACTGTTGAGTTGGACATTGAAGGTAGTTTTAAAATTACTGATAACCTGTTAAAAGGGCAATTTAAAAGCTGGGGAGATGACTCAAAAAGGCTGGACTGCAAGCTCAGCATGTGGGAAGCCAGGCTGATTGCTATTGCTTAGTTATGAGACATCCAGGGGTGGCCTCTGAGCACCAAGAAGGGAGTAGCTCTTGAGGATCACCAATGATGGACCATAAAACCAAAAGCAAAAAAACTGAATTTAAAGTGGGAAGCATTCCTCCTCCTAATTCAACTTGCATTACCTTTATCAATACTGCAGAGTTAAAAAAAATAGCTAATATTTGGGTCAGGGTGTTTCAACAGCAAAGCTCATGTGTTATTATATGCAGGAGACCTGGATTCAAATTCTGGCACTGAAAAAAATTCCCATCTAACCTTAATGTCAACAATACATGATTTTCTCATGTAATCTGCTGCTACATGGATGGATCTGGAGACTGAATCTAGGAAGTGGAAGAAAACAGACACAGAATGCTCTCATGTGCAATATATAAAGAAATATAGTAGAATAACAAACATCCAAAGGCATTAGAAATGAAAAGCATGAGAACGGATCTTCAGTAAGAAACATCTCACAGGGTGGACGGCGAGGCCTGCGAGGAGAATACTACAACAATGGAGGAAGGAAGTAGCCCTCACTTTGGAGGAGGAGGGAATGCTATAGTGGTATGTATGAAACTATATCAGTAACAGTAATGCAAATCAGTGTCTAAAAGAAAAAAAGTTAAAGCTGGGGGTGGGAGACAAACTGGGGTAATTGGTACGGAAGCGGACAGTGAAGGGTGAAGGGATTGATGTTGCAACATTGTATGCCTGAAAATCAATCATGAACAGCTTTGTAAATCATGGTGCCTTAATACATTTAAAGAAACAAAACAAAACGATTTTCCTAATTTTTCATTAACTACCAAAATTTTTTTAAGACTGAAGATACCAATATTATCTTATAATTGGTAATCATAACCAGAACTATTGAGAAAGTATAATCTTTTTCATTAGTATATTAATAGACAATGATTATCTTTTGTAGGCTCCTTATGTTCAATTAGCTAAAAAATAAAATTATTACCTTTAGATAGTAGCTCGTTTAGATTCCAGGCCTCAAGCATTTTACTACCTCCAGAAATGTCCCCTTTCATCCATTAAAGTTTTTTCTTTCTGGGTCACTAAATCATGATAGTTGTAAGCTTCATTTATGTGAAAGCTATAATTATATCCTCACAGCAGCATCATTTTCTGTAATAAAAATGCATTCAACATATATTCATTTTCCTACACATAAAGAAATTACTAATTTTGATATGCAATTTTCATTATAGACTGGCCATTACAAGCTGGTAGAGTAGAAACCATTGATGGACTTAGTCGAAAAGAACTGAAATAAGAATTGATTTAACAAATAATTGCATGTGTCCTGGGGGTAAGTTAACAATCTCTGCCCGTTTTCTGTTTCAACAATCACATTCTATAACTACCTTGGAAAAACAAAGATATTTATAGCCAATACCATTTTCCTCCACCATGAAAAATTTAACCAAAAAGGCAGCTTTTTTTTTTTTTTTTTTGGCTATACTTGATTGTGCTCAGGACTTACTCCTGACTCTGCACTCAGGGAGCACTCTTGTCAGGGCAGAAGTCAGGTCAGCAGTGTGCAAGACCAGTGCCCTATCTACTGTATTACTGCACCAGCCTCTAAAAAAGGCAGACTTTGAAGCCACAGAAGCTTTAGAATAAAGGTATATCTCTTTTATACTACCTATAAAACCCTGCATTTTGTTTGGTATTTTTTTTCTTTTTTATTAAGTATTATTGGGATTGAGTAGAGAACAGAAAGAAAAAGATTTCCATTCTCAACACCGTTTCACTAGGGAAAATTTAATTTTGAGGGAACTTCCAAGCAGTGCTGAGGGGGCTGGCCCAAGAAGCCTTAGTGTTGGTCATTTGTTCAAATGTGAAGACTGAGGATGCAATGCTGTTGGAGTCCTGCATTACTGGGATAGACCAAAATAATGTCAGGGTATTCAGGGAACCCTCAGGCCTGCACCAAAGTAGCTCATGGGGCCATGTGATGCAGGAATCCTCAGATCTGTATTATCTTTAGACTTTGGCTAAAGAAATTTTTACTCAACCTATTACAGAATGCAGAGGTCGAGAAAATACAACCCATGTATTACTGAGTGTGGAGCATGAAAAAAAAAAACTTAAAACTTTGTTTTAAGAACAAGTTTTTGGACTAGAGAAATAGCTCAGCCATCTCAGCACATAACCACAGTTAATCCTCTGCACTGTGTGGACCCCCAGGACTGCCAGGAGCAACCCCTTGCCCCCACCACACCCCTAAGCACAGAGCCATAAAAATTCTTCCCCGGGGGTCTGAGAGATACTACAGCAGGAAGGGGGCTTGCCTTGCACACAGCAGAGCTGGGTTCAATTTCTGGCATCCCATATGGACCCCAGAGCCCCACCAGAAGTAAGCTCTGAGCACTCTAGATGTGATCCCCAAAACATCATCAGTATATATTTGATTTGTATACTCATATGGCTGGGTGATGTGAAAATAATTCTCAGGTGAAATGGGCATGCAAAGTTTAAGCAGCCCTAGTCTAGACATTAATGACTGAACTTCAGAAAGCACAATAAGGCATTAAACTTTGCTGGCAAATTGCTTTCTAGAATGTTCCATGTCACATTCAAAGAGTTGGTTTTAGGGCCAGTAAATATGGCTCAAGGGCTTTAGCACATAGTTGCATGCAGGAGCCTTGTTTCCATCCTCACTAGCTCATGTTCCTCTGAGAACCACTAGAAGCAACCATATGGGAGTAGCCCCTGAGCACCACTGGTGTGCTCCATAAAGAAACAAAAATGCTGATTTTATCTCATACAAAGATTAGAAAACTGATGTTTTAACTTACAGATAAATTGTTTAAAAATGGCATTTGGCAAAAGGGAGGAGATTATTCAGGCTGTAATTACTCATATATAGACCACTACTTTATTAATGTTTTGATTTTGCTCAACATTGCATTGTACTTGTTGAAACTTTAGAAGTAATTCTTAGGGCTGGAGAGATGGTACAGTGGGTAAGGTGCTTGCCTTGCCTGTGTCCCACCCAGGTTTGGTCCCTGGCATCCCTGTGGTTCCCAAAGTACCGCCAAGAGTAATTCCTGAGTACAGAGCCAGGATCTAAAAAACTGTATTAACATTCTGATTATTGGTCATGTTTTCGTCTATAAATTTAATGAATGAAATCAATAATCTGAAGATAATGTCCCAAGCGATAGCACAGCGGTAGGGCATTTGCCTTGCACGCAGCCAACATGGTCGACCCGAGTTCGATTCCTCCGCCCCTCTCGGAGAGCCTGGCAAGCTACCGAGAGTATCTCGCCCGCACGGCAGAGCCTGGCAAGCTCCCCGTGACGTATTCGATATGCCAAACACAGTAACAACAAAGTCTCCAATGGAGATGTTACTGGGCCCGCTGGAGCAAATCGATGATCAACGGGAGGGCCTTTACTTTTACTTTTAATGTCCCAAGTAGGATAAGCACAAGATAAAGCCATTTTAGGTTTAGTTTCAAGAATTTTTCTTGGGCTATTCCCAGCACTACATGGTCTCCCTGAACACCAAAGCAACCCACTCCAAGAGTCTGGAGTACCCTTGAACATTGTCAGGTGGGGCAAAAAAAAGTTTTATCCTTGGTACAGCATGATTTGCATATATGAGGTACTGGGTTTGACACCAGTATCCCAACCCCCAAAAAGTTTATCTCAATTTTAAGTATTTTGATCAATTATTTCAAAATTTAAAGGATCCTGAAATCTACTCAAAATGTCAAACTTCATTGACTACATTATTTCCCAACAAATGAAAATTAAAACATTTTCTTTTTTTACCATAGGTATGACATGTTCCTTTTATTTTGCAAACATACCATAAGTTGAAAGTGTCAAATTAAATCAAGACTCCTAGTTCACATATATTTTATAAAGTAATTTATTTTTAAGTAGGTTTTGAAAATTAGTTTGTATCCAAATTTTAATGTTTGCAGGTACATAACAGAACTTTTCATTTGTCTAAGAAAATAAAGGCGTAATGTCTCTTTTATTCACAGTTTGACCTCCCAATAAACATCCTGCAATTGAGATTTCAACCATTTTTCTTGCTCGGATACATACCTCTTTGTTTTTAAACCTCTTTGCTTTTTTGAGAGGTTTACAAATTATTTCAGTAATTCTCATGACTGAGGTACCTCTATTTATCTCTATTTATAAAGGAAGCAGTCAAGAAGTTCTTCATGATCAGTGGGCATTAGAGATCAGACTGAAAAACCAAAAGGGAAAAAAAAAACATCCAGAACAATTGGGACTTCAAAGACCATGCAGAGTCTTATACCATTATCACAATATACCATTACTTAGAAAAACTACTAAAAAACCTTTATCTCCCAAGCTGTGCTCATAAGGACCATAGGAAAGGAATCATGGGTTACACACCTTTAAAAGATATTTTTACCAATGGTGTTGATATTTAAAAAAAAAAAGAAAAAAACAACAACCTGTGAATTTAATTTCTTTCAGGTTCTTTCTATACATTTTAATTTCAGACAATTTTCAACTGCTGGAAATCAAAACTAAATTACCAAGGGCCTTTTAAATAGTTTCCCTCTACCAAATTCTTTAAATATAAGCTAAATAGCAAGAGGCTGTTAACAAAGTGGTTCAAGGTTCAGCTTGTCTACTTAAAACCACACAAGGCTCATCTCTGCAAGCAATCACCTGGCCCAAGAACAAGCTTCTGTTTGCCAGGCCCCACCTTTCATCAAGGGCTTTCCGAGGGTTTTTCTGTCTCACACCAGGTACCTGGTTAATTGTGGCCCAGCTGTAAGCATCTTCTTGATGGAAAGCTTTAGCCGACTTCACCTGCACACACACACACCGCACTGCCCACCAATCAAGTCCCCTCGCTTGGAGCTTTTCAGGCGATCGCCTCACAAAAATGTCTTTTGAGCTCTGGACATGATGTGTCTCTATCCCCACCCGTCCCCCCTCCCCACCCCACACTCCCCCCACAAAAAAACCAACCTCAATTTAATTCGAGTACTGTCGGGCCCACAAACAGTAAAGACACTGGCCTTGGCTCACTTTAAGACAAAATAGTGAAAAATGAGACGTGTGGGAGGAAGGCTTCCCACATCTAGACATAGATAAGGGCTCACAGCGGGAGGGAGGAGCGGCGTGAGGGGGGGGGGGGCACACCGCGGGGCGCTTACGCCCAGGGGTCCGGATCCCCCCGCGGTGCGTCCTGGGGACTCGGGAGCTCACAGACCTCTAACCTCCACCTTTCTCCCGCCGGCCTGCCCCGGGCCAGGGAGCCCGGTTTCGAGCCGGCGGCCGCAGGCCTCGTCATAAGGGGAGCTGAAGAGGCCGGGGACGCGGGCGCGGGAGGGCCGGCAGTGGCTCCAGCCCCGGCGGGGTCAGGAGGTGACGGAGAGGAAGCGGCTGGAGGAAGAAAAAAGGCGGGGGAGGGAGCAGGGTGCGGGAGGGGGTGGGTGGGGGGTGGGTGGGGGAGAGGTAGCGTCCGGTCCGTCAGCGCAGACGGCCCAGCCAAACCTCCGACTCCTCCATTCCCGCCGCCGCCGCCGACTAGCGCCCTACTGGGCGAGGAGGGAAGTCCACCAAGTGCTGGAGCAGAGGGGAGAAAATTCAAAGCGAGTCTACTCAACCTCGTCTTGGCTCCGAGGCCCCGCCATGGAGACCAGCCCAGTGCGCAGGCGTACCCCCTCGGAGAGCGCGCCACGGAGCGCCCTGAAGTGAGGCCATTCTCAGCCACCGTAGTCGGCCTTCCCGTCTGATTGGCTCTTCTGTTTTCGTAGTCCCGCCCCCTCATCGCCTGAGGTTTGAGGCCGGAGCCCAGAGGAAATCTCGGTAGGGTTTAAGTTCTCTTGGGATGGCGAGTACAAAATTAATCCGAATGGGCTTTACCAAATTTAAGAGACAGAGTAAAGATAGTAGCTGCTGGCGAGAGTCATGGGATGGGGGTGGGGGTGTTGGGGGCTGGAACAGTAGTCCCATGTGCTGAGCCCATGCGTTCCATGAAATGCATGCATGAAATGCGGGAGCCCCGTGTTGACCCTGGCACTACCAGGAGCTAGTCCCAGCGCACTGTTATGTTTATCTCCAACCCCCAAAAAGGATGTGAGAGTCGCGTGGCAAATAAGACCACAAATTCCACCAGATACAGCGTCTAAGAAATGCTGCTTATTGGGAGTTGTAGTGTCTAGGTAGGTGCTGTGTTTGAAATAGCGGATTTAGGGGATATTTCTTCAGATTGAATAAGAGCGAGAGCGAGAGAGAAACCTAATCTGATCGGGACTTTCTGAATTGTCATCAAAGGTTTCCAGGCCTAAATATGTTGCGGGAAGGGTTTGATTTTTTTTTTAATTACTGGGAGACGTCCCCTTTAAAACTGCTTCGCCAATCGATGATTCCTAAATCCTTGAATAGGTCGTTGATGTTTGTGGCCTGGACTTGGTGAAGGTACTGCAGCCTCGTGGTGGGTTCTTGCTTGTGAGGTCGGGGGACCGAATGCGGAAGCCCAGTCTCTGCAGCTTCTCCTCTACCAGCGTGTTCTCATTTTGAGCGTCCTCGTTTCGTAGCCCTAAGAGACGAGAACGCCTTTTGTCTGCTGTGATCCCCTACATTTCTGTTGGCAAGTCTGCGTGTACTGCCTGTCATGGCTCAGCTCCAGACCCGCTTCTTCACTGACAATAAGAAGTAAGTAAAAGTACTTCCCATCTCCCCTCCCTAGAACCCTTTCCCAGCACCCCTTAGGTTTGACTCTGTGGCTCTCTGATCCCTGGTTGTCTCTGCCTTCTTTCCAAACCCCATCTACACCTCTTTTGGGGGCATGGGGTGGGGTGGAGAATCCGAACTCTGCGGTGCTCAGATGGGATCCGCATTGCCCCGCGAAGATTTCTCTGGGGCTTGCCTGCAGCCCTTTGGGATCACGTTTTAGCTTAGCATATAATTTTTTTTTTTTTTTTGCTTTTTGGGTCACACCCGGCGATGCTCAGGGGTTACTCCTGGCTCATGCACTCAGGAATTGCTCCTGGTGGTGCTCAGGGGACCATATGGGGTGCTGGGAATCGAACCTGTGTCGGTCATGTTGGCTGTGTGCAAGGCAAACGCCCTACCCGCTGTGCTATCACTCCAGCCCTTAGCATATAATTTTAAGTGTGAGTTTAGAGAAACCTGAAAAGGATTGTTTTGTTTGCCGAATGAAGTAAGTTACGACCAATTGGCTGTCTATTGATAGTATTTAACAATTTCTTAGGAAACATTCTCTTAAATGCTGGGTGAGAGAGGATGCTTGCATACTATAATACATAAATTCTATTATCAGTACACGTAAGTTTGTATATTTAACCTAAATACTTCCCAGGGAATGTAATGCAATAATAGAATTACATCTTTTTCTAATTGAACTTTTTATTCATAATTTTTGATTGATATGAAATTTTTATAAATTATAAATCATGTATTTTAACCTTTGAGATTTATGGATTTATGAATGTTTTAAGTGATCAAAAATAGTAGCAAAACCTGGAGAGATCTTGTTTATTTGGCTTAAGATATTCTGGTTATTATTAATAGGGGCAAAATGAAGGGAGATGATGACTTTACTCATAAATATGTAATAATTTCAACATATTTGTGTGTGTGAATTTTGCTGCTTCCTCTTGTCCCTCTTTTTTTTTTTTTTTTTTTTTTTTTAGTTTTTTGGGTCACTTCCAGCTGTGCTCAGGGCTGACTTCTGCCTTTGTACTCAGGGATCGCTCCTGGTAGCGTTTGGAAGACCATGTGAGATGCCAGGAACCCAACTCAGGCCAGCTGCTGCAAAGCAAGCTCCCTATCCCCTGTCCCTCATTTTATTGACTAAAATAATAAGTGCTTCAATGGAGGAACGAAAAACTGTAATCTCTAATTTTTGTTACCTTTTGCAGATACTAAATAACTTTGCTTTGGTGGCATTTATTTCATACACATCTAGTCCCCTGCCAGGAGTGACCCCTGAGGACAGAGCCTGGAGTAAGCCCTGAACACTGAACATTGGGGTTTAGCCCCCATACCTGAAAAAATGGGGTGGGGGGAGATAACGCAAACCTCAAAGTCCACCCCACATTTGCTAATTTAGTCTTTTCTGTTGAATAAATTCTAAAGCACCTCCCTTCTCTTAAACACCCATTGTAGCAAAAGGAGATTTTCTCCTGTTTTGGTGAATGAATCCTGCAGTCTATCCTTAATATCTTTTGAAACTTTCTATTTTCCAAAACTACAGCCTTAATTAAAAATCAGGTAACTTTTAAATTAATTTTCAGTCACCATAAATTACAGAGAAAGTTATTATTAAGCATCGGATGTTTAAGCAACAGTCCCTTTACCAGTATTTACTTCTATCCACCAGGTTTCGAGATTTGTTTCTGAGTCTCTGGGATCATGGCCATTAAGCAGCTTGATCAGGAGCTAGAAAGGCCTTTCGTGGGCTATGACTATGGGGTCTCGTTGGGGTAGGGAGGAAAAGGCCAGCTCCACCCCCCATCCCATGAGGCCCCACGTGTCTTGTCACTGCGGGCCCAAACCTGACTGTCCAGTGGCCTCTGGAGGATGGTGGCCACTGGGCCGCCAGGGGGAACAGGCCAAGGCACAAAACCTATTCCCACCTGGGTTGACCCAGCACCGGTAACCTATTGCAGGGACCGGACGCATTTATGCCAAAAGCCTTTGGGTTTCGAGATTTGTTTCTGAGTCTCTGGGATCATGGCCATTAAGCAGTTCGATCAGGAACCAGAGAGGCCAGACCTCCAATTATATAGCTGAGCCCAAGGTGGTTTGTGGGTGTGTCTCCACATACCTAACTTTTGGCTGTTTACTTTCTTGGTAAACTTTGCCCCAAGTTTTTGGGGTCTAGACAAAGGCACAGCAGCAATTTGGGGGTATCTGGAAGCCTGAAGGCGCCATCAGGCTGCTGATGCACTCGCCTCACAGGTAGATTGACCTGCTGGTGGCACCATACCCCCTCCAATTTTCTTTTTGGACATCACTTCATTCTAAACATATAGTTTTGTTTATAATATAAAAAAAATTATATAACATAGTCTTCTGTTCCTGGTTTCTTCGACTTACTATGTTTTCAAGGGTCATCCATATTATTAATATCTTTACTTCATTTATGATGATGAGACCTGAGTCCATTGTATGTATGAAACACATTTTGTTTCATGAGCTAATGAACAGATGGTCTGTTCTCCCTTTTGGATATTAATCATGATATGTGAACATTTGTGTACAGATTTTTTTGTAGGTACTTATTTTCATTTCTATTCTAAGCATAGTCCTTATCAGATATTTGCAACTTGCAAGTGTTCTCTCCCATTCTTTCTTACAACTTTCCTAATTTGTTCACTGTTTTCTCTAAAATAGTCTCCAAGATGCTACCAAGAAAGAGCTATTGGGGGTGGGGGCGGGGGTCTGTTGGGTTTTGTGTGGTTTGGTTTTGTTTGGGGCCACACTTGGTGATGCTCAAGGCTTACTCCAGACTCTGAGCTCTGAGATCACTCCTGGTGGTGCTCAGGTGACCATGTATAGGATAGGATACTGGGACATTGAACCCAAGTCAGCTGTATACAAGGCAGGCATCCTAACCACTGTACTATCACTCTAGTCACTGTTTTGAATCTTAAGTTCTACCCTATTGTTCTTGGGACTGTTCCTGGCTTTGTGCACAGAGTTCTCTTCCTGCTGTGGTGTGCAGCGGACCAGGCTTTGCCAGGGATGGAACTTGCGCATTCTACATGCAAAGTATGCACTCAGCCCATTGAGTTTTCAATGAGGTTTTAATTGCAATAGTTGTTCTCATTTCCTACAGAAAGTAGACCTACTTCACAGCTTATAATACCACTCCATGCATTTGTAGATCACTGCCTAGATAAGCTAGGGGGTTTGTGTGAATAATTTAATAGTGCTCAGCTATTATTTTTGCTTCTTTCCTTGCTTCCTCCTTTCAGCTAACTCACCAACCTGGCAAAAACTCATTTTCCTAGATGTAACTTAGGAATTGATACTTTCTTGTGCATTTTTTTTTTTCAAATTCTGCTCCCTGCGATCTTTGCTTTGGTTGAAATGATCCAACACATTTTTGTTCTCCATTTTATCATTTTTATATTGTTCTTATAATTTTATTGTATTTGATTCCAGATTTTAACTGTTTCTTAGAAAATTTCTTAATTCATTTTTGCTAAGCCCCTGTTAATAGGCTCAGAGAGATAGCTGAGAGGGCTGGAGCACATACTTTGCTTATATAAACACTAGGTTTGATTCCTATACAACACCAGGAGTAATCTCCCCACACAACCCCAAAACACCAAGCCTAATCTCCACTCTCACCTCAAACAGCACTACTGGATGTGACTCTAAATTCCCCCTTCCTAAAAACTGTCATGTAACAAAATGTCTGGTATGTGTTAGATAATCACTTAAAAGTTTGTTGAATGAATGCAGATTTGTTAAAATATCTGTAACTTGATTTTGACATATATTATTTTTTCTATAGATATGCAGTAGATGATGTTCCCTTCTCAATTCCTGCAGCTTCTGAAATTGCTGACCTTAGTAACCTCATCAATAAACTGTTGGAGGCCAAAAATGGTGGGTATACATATACTGAGAATCCAGAATACTGAGAATCCAGAATACATATACTGAGAATCCAAAGTTACTGACTTTACTGAAATTTAACATGTTTATATTTTGCTTTAGTTTTTAAGCTGTATTTTATATAACAGCAAAAAATTAGTGAATTTCATGAGTTTCCTGCTGCATGATAGTTTAAAAAATATTTTGAAATAAAGTTTTCAGAATAAAATAATCATTTCAGTTTAATATACTTTTAAGGCAATATAGAAATAACATGGTTGAGATTTAGAAATAAAGACTTTTGGTATAACAGTTGAAAATGTTGAGTAATAAAGATTTGTGATTTTGGGCCAAGGAGATGGTACAGGGGGTTAGGAGCTTACCTTGCATGCAGCCAGCTCAGGTTCAATACCTGGCACTACTTGTGGTCCCCCTCCCCCCCAGAGACCACCAGGAAAAAGCACTGTTCATGGCCAGATGTTACCCCCAAAATAAATAGATGTTGGGGGCTGGAGTGACAGTACAGCAGATAAGGCACTTGGCTAATACACACCAACCCAGGTTCAATCCCCGGCATCCCATATGGTTCCCTGAGCCCTGTCTGAAGTGATCCCTGAGTGCAGAGCCAAGAGTAAGTCCTGATCACTGCTGGATCAAACAAAATGATGTGATTGCTCTGGTTAAGTAGGCACTGAACAAGCATATTTGTGCTTAGGCCTCATTTACCACACTACTATGAACCACAATGATAATATTAACAAATGCCTGTGTTAATCCTGGCATTTTATGCATATTTAGAATTCATGTAAAAATATTGTCTCAAACATAAAAATGAAAGAGTATCAAATAATATAAAACATGTTATTCCATGTAAATTATGTACTGACTATAAAGTAACATGGACATGGTATATATAGATGATATAAGAGTAGACACCATATCAACTTTTTTTTTTTTTTGAGGAGTGGCTAGGGGCTTGGACCACACCTGGCTGTGCTTAGTGCTAACTCCTGGCTGTGAACTCAGAGATACTCCAGATGCCGGGGGGCGGGGGGGTTGGGGGGGGTGTAGGGGGGCATAAGGGTCATATGGGTGCTGGGATTGAACCCAGGTTGGCTGCATGCAAATCAAGAACCCTGCATGCTATACTATATCCAGCTCTCACAAGTCTATCATTGTTGCTGTTGGGTGACAAGTGGAAAGAAATTATACTAGTCGCCACTTGTACATGTTTTAAATTGAAGTAAGCAATATATTTTTTAACAAGTCGATATTCTAAGGGGGGGTTGTGGTGGTGCTCAGGGATACTACTGACTGTACTTAGAGATCATGAGTGATTAATTACCCTTGAATTGATGATGCAAATAAATCAGATTTTCTTAATGTGAAGACTTCTCTTGAAGGGTTATAGCTAGAGCAAGTATGAAATGATTAATATGTATCATTTTGTTAACTCCAGGTAAAGGAATAACTAATGAATATCAAAAGCTGCTAAACCATTAGTTAGATATGACAGAGAATGTTATGAAGGATGGAATCAGACTGGCATCATTTGAGAAGAGAGCTGTGTCTAAATATCTTAAAGAGATGAGATACATTGTAATTTCCTGAAGTGGTGGAGTAGGAAATCTTGCAGTTCCTCTCCAACAGCAGGAAACCTGAAATCTAATAAAACATTTAGGTATGCCCAGTGTCTATGATGTATCAGATGGTAAAGCAACAAATTAATAGATACCTCGGAGATGCCCACAATCAAATTCCAAATATTTACTAGAGGACCTAGTAAATTTAAGGGGAAGAAAGAGGAAGGGAGGAATAATGTTCTCTGCTCTGTTTAATAATATAAATAATCAGATATGTAGATTTTGGGTATTGATGTACTCACTACAAAATACATTTATGAAATGAAATGAGGAAATTTAAAACTTGGCTACTTGATTTAAATTATATAATATTGTAATTTTATTTTAGTTCTTATAACAAGTGTATATGTACTTAAGCATCTATAGATACATGATAAAATTTTTAGGTTTGCTTTAAGTTAGAGTGGACAAGGAGTAAAAAATGGGAAAAATATTGATAATTACACATTGTCAGTTGTCAGAATGTGTTGAAGTTGGGTATTTTTATGTTATTTTGGGTTACATTATGTTATATAATTGGGTACTTCATATGTGTTTGAAGTTTTCCATGGAATAAATTTTTAAAAAATTAAAATAATTGGGTTGGGGAAATGACTCAGAGGGCTGGAGTCCGTGCTCTGCATGCAGTAGCCCCAGTATCAGAGTCCCCAAGCACCACTGGTCGTGGTCCAGAAACAAAACAAAAAGTTAAAATAATTATATCAATGATAAGAAAATCATACCAATAGAATAAATTGTTTCTGTTCTTAAAAATCACATAATATATTAGACTACATGGTTGGATTGTGCCATGGAAAACTTGGAGACTATACTGACATAACAGGTGCCTTTTTGTATGGGGGTAACTTATATGTCTCTGACAATTCAATTGCATTTCCTAAGAATGTTTATTTTTATTATACATTCCTTTTAGAGTTACACAAACATGTGGAGTTTGATTTTCTTATCAAGGGTCAGTTCTTGCGAATGCCCTTGCTCAAACACATGGAACTGGAAAACATCTCATCAGTAAGTTCAAATATCTAATTGGTTTTACTTAAGTTGTCATTAACTAATGTAAATAAACTTCTTAGATTCAGAACTGGCCTAAATCTATACGCAGCTTACAAGATCTTTGGACTTTTCCTGCCTCTGTGCTCAGTTCATCAGCACATATACAAAACTGATAATTATTTTCTTCCCCCAAAAATTAACTTTCTAAATATCTAATTTAAAAATTATGTTTTTTAATATCCAGTGTTTAAATTCCCTCTCCCCTCTTTCCTGAGTGTGTTCAAGAAATGCAGATAGACATAAAAAGGTACTTCGTATGTATAAGAACTGGCAAGAACACGAATAGTAAATACATGTATACTACAAAAACATTATACAAAATGATTGTGAGATTAAAAAAAACTTAGGTTATTATGCCATGTCGTGATTTCCCCCCGGTGGTTTTTAAACTATATAATGTATGTTTATAATTATTGTTTATATAATTTGAGATAGTTTGCAATTGCTTTTATGATTTATTGAATAAAATTTAGACCTGTGGTAAATATACATAATTGTCCTCGGGTTTTTTTGTTTTTTGTGCCATATTCCATGGTGCTCAGGACTTCCTCCTGGCTCTACACTCAGAGATCCCTCCTGGTTAGATTGGGGAACCATACAGGATACCAGGGATCAGGGATTGAACCTGGATTGACTGCACGCAAAGCAAACACTATACCCACTGTACTGTCACTAGGGCCTCAAATTTTCCATTTTTAAATACAATTTAGTGACACTAGAACATTGACAATATTTTGCAACATAATCACTTTTTCATCTTTTTATTTGTGCTTATTTGCTTGCTTCTATGATATTTTATGATTTGAAGTTTCTTAGTTTCTTTTCTTTTTCCCCTGCTTCAAAAGCATGAATTCCCGGGGCTGGAGCAATAGCACAGCGGGTAGGACATTTGCCTTGCACGTGGCTGACCCGGGTTTGATTCCCAGCATCCCATATGGTCCCCTGAGCATCACCAGGAGTAATTCCTGAGTGCATGAGCCAAGAGTAACCCCTGTGCATCACCGGGTGTGACCCAAAAAGCAATAAATAAATAAATAAATATCCTTTTTTTTTTGTAATTTAAATTATTATGTAGAAGTTTTTTTACTTTTGTATGGCTCCAGTTTTTCTAGGTTCTAAAAGTGACTGTCAAGATATGTATTAAATTGGGGATCCTTTTCTCTTCATAATGTACCATTTTCAGCGTGCATTACTTGATTGGCTTTTGGTGTCTTTCCAGGAAGAGGTTGTGGAAATAGAATATGTGGAAAAGTATACTGCACCTCAGCCAGAGCAGTGCTTGTTTCACGATGACTGGATCAGTTCAATCGAAGGGGCAGAGGAATGGTATTGCCAGATGAATGTTATTCTGTTTCTTAAGCAACTTCTGTCATTCTTTTTAAGTGCACTATGAATATTTTTCTGTGATTATCTTTGTGAAAGAAACAATGTATTGACCTAAATGTGGTCATGGCAAAGATCTTTGCATTCATTATACTTGAAAAGGAACTGTTTTTTAATAGGTTTTCTTTTCTGTATCAAGTTGTTGTAGTAAAATTTGTCTTCTGTTTAGATCAGATCTACAGGGCTTTAGTGTATTGGAGCTTTAGTTTAGTTAGTCTGTTCCATTTAAAACTAAGGAAGTAACTTATTTCAAAGGGTGGGGGAAGATGTTTTCTATAGACAGATATTCTGGCCTAACAACTTTGAAGATGCAGATAATGCTACTTTAAGGCTAAAAAGGGAGAACTCGGAATCAAGATGGTATTAATGGACTAGAGCAAAACTCTACTGGCCTTGTGAAAAAAAAATACCTTAAGATTGGATCATAGTATAAGCTTACTTCTCAAGGAGTGTGTCCATAATTACCCAAAGGGTTTTTATTACTATTATTATTATTATTATTATTATTATTATTTTAGTGATTTTACTGTTTTTAAAGGTTTGGGCTTGTTAAGTACAAATCTCCTAGATTTTATGAAATTTTCTCAGCTTCCCCGTAAACTATAGGTTTTTTATAATAGTCAAAAAAGTTATATACAGGGTTTGTTAAACTTTGAAGACAAGAAATGTCAAATACAGCATTTTCTAGTTTATTCTAGTGTGTTTTTGAAATTTTGTTTTTCATATTAAAGAAGAGTTTTAAAGTATAATTCTCATGCTAGGGTAAGGCTCAATTGGTAGAGCACACGGTGTGCATGTGCAAAGCCCTGACACTCCTTCTCAGCACTACTTGGCCCTCTTAGCATTGCCAAGTCCAGCCATAAGGTGGACTTATAATTCTAGCACTGCCCTCCTGAGTACTGGACTGCCAGCCCTCTTGGATAAGCTGTATAATGTAGTATAAAAATAAGACTCTCGGTTTACTCTTAACTGCTCTAGAAGTACTAATTTTAGTTTTAAGAAAGCTACTTTTCGTGTTTCATAAGATTTTTGTCTCATAGGATCTTGACTGGTTCTTATGATAAGACTTCCCGAATTTGGTCCTTAGAAGGAAAATCAATAATGACGATTGTCGGACATATGGACGTTGTTAAAGATGTGGCCTGGGTGAAAAAAGGTGAGGGCTCTGCCTAAACTGAAAGGACTTTGGAGTAGAGCATTGTAAAGAAGCTATTTTTAGAGCTGTGATAGAATGGGGATGAAATACTGTGAAAATAACAAATAGTCATTGTGAAAATTTTTAAATACAGAATATTCAAGGATTTAGGGACTGGGAGGGAGGCAGATTGATCCGTGGGACTGCAGTGCCTGCTTTACATACAGGAGTCCCAGGTTCATTCCTCAGCACCACGTGGTTCCCCCAGTGCCACCGGAATAGGACTTCCTGCTCTAAACCTTCTCATATATAAAGTTCAAGAAGAAAGGGATTATATCATTTTAAACCCATAAAGAATTAAAAGTGAATATTAAAATTACATCAAGTATACATTTAAAAAATTATTAGAGTCATATCTTTACACTGTTGTTGTTTGGGGTTTTTTCGTTTGAGGAAAACTTTGGGGCTTACCCAGTGATGGGCTGGAGCGACAGCACAGCGGGAAGGGCATTTGCCTTGCATGCGGCCGGCCTGGGTTCGATTCCTCTGCCCCTCTTAGAGAGCCCAGCAAGCTACCGAGAGTATCCCGCTCGCATAGCAGAGCCTGGCAGCTCCCCGTTGCATATTCTCACAGTGGAGATGTTACTGGTGCCCGCTCGAGCAAATCGATGAACAATGGGAGGACAGTGCAGTGCAGTTTTTATGGTGCCAGGGTGTCATACATAGAAAGTATTGCTTCATTACTAAGCTACAGCCATGAGCTCTTATACATTTTGGGAGGTTTTCCCCTTACACAATATGCTGCTTTTTTAAAAAATTAGCAATATGGGGCCAGAGAAATAACAGAGCAGATAAAGCACTTACCTTGCATATTGCCAACCTGTATTTGGTCCCCAGGATCTCATATGGTCCCCTAAACCCTGCCAGGAGTGACCCTTGAACACAGTCAGGAGTAAGCCCTGAGCACTGCTGGGTATGCCCACAAAACCCAACCAAAACTAAACAAACAAAAAACATAGCCATATGAGCTTCTTTCTCTTTCTTTTTCAGAATTTAATATTTTTGCCTTCCCTTTCATGGTTATTGTCATTGTTGTGGTGCCTGGGGTTGCATACTTGGTTGTGGTTATGGTATCAGTAGATGGGCTGGTGGAGATGTGTCCCACTTGACCATGCCAGGGGAATGGATGGCAGGGAACGACCTCTTACCTTTTGAAATCTCAGCATGTGTTCTATATTGTATCACATCCTTGCACCACTCTTCTACCCATTTATACCCAATAGTGCTCAGGGACTACTCTCACAGTGTTGCTGGGGGATGATGTGCTGCCATGCATTGACGCTGGGCCTCCTGCAAACAATCACAATCACAATCAATCACAACCATCCTGTTATTCGTCGATTGCCTCGAGCAGGCCCCAGTAACGTCTCCTTCGTCCTAGCCCTGAGATTTTTTAAAAAAGTGCCATATTCAAGGCTCTTTCTTGAGAATGAGACCCTTCATTGTTACTGGTGTTTTGCATATTGGGTACGCCATGGGGAGTTTGCCAGACTCTGCCGTGTGGGCAGGTTACATTTGGTACCCTGCCAGTTTGGACAAACAAACTGCAAACAATATATCATTATAATCCTCTATCCTGTCCTTTTAACAGATCTTTTCAGACAAAAATTTGGTGTGAGAACTTACTGTATTTTTCATATATCGTGCCCAGTCCTGGCAATGTCCAGTGTTGTGGCCTGAGTGTTTAGTGCTCTCAGTAGTGCTCAGGTTGTTGAGGTGGGGACGGGACCACCAAGGCTTTAAAGTGAGGATCAAACTCTAGTCCTGCACCATGCTAAGCATGTGCTTTATTGCTGGAGCTGTCTTCCTGGGCCCACAACTAGTACTAAACATTGTTGTTGTTGTTGGTTTTTAACTGATTCATTTCTTATTTCTTCAGACAGTTTGTCTTGTCTACTATTAACTGCCTCTATGGATCAGACTATTCTCTTATGGGAATGGAATGTAGAGAGAAACAAAGTGAAAGCCCTGCACTGCTGTAGAGGTCATGCTGGAAGTGTGGATTCTATAGCTGTCGATAGCACAGGAACCAAAGTAAGTATCTGTTTTAGTACTAGTGTGCTGAATTGGAATTTGAGTTTATGCAAATATTCATGGTAATTGGCTATCTTATAGTAATTGGTGAGTAATAAATATTATATCAAATCAAAAGTAAGTACTCATAAAACAAAAGATTAAAAAATTTCCTTAGGGGCTGGAGCAATAGCACACCGGGTAGGGCATTTGCCTTGCATGCGGCCGACCCCGGTTTGATTCCCAGCATCCCATATGGTCCCCTGAGCACCGCCAGGGGTAATTCCTGAGTGCAGAGCCAGGAGTAACCCCTGTGCATCGCCAGGTATGACCCAAAAAGCCCAAAAAATAAATTAATTAATTGAAAATTTCCTTAATCTGGATCCCTGGTTTAAAATTGTATATAAATTGCAGATATTTTGTAGAAATTTTAAAAATCAAGCAATTCCCTTAAATCATAGTAGTTAATATTTTCATAGTTGCTAACAATTGCAAATATTTAGTTGATTATCAGGTGTTTCCCAAAATGAGTGATACTGGCCCCAGGGGGTGCTGAAATGATCCAAAGGCTAATAGCCTTGTGTGCAACAGGTGGATATTTTCTGTTTGCTTACTTAAACATGGTAGATTTCCAAAAGGGCTCTGTGTGATTTTTTTTTTTCTGAAAAGGGAGCAACAGGCCAAATTAGAAAAGCCCTAAAGAAGGAAGAGACCTGGTGTTATAGCATAGAGTATATGTTCACTTTTATCTAAGCAACTGTCACAGGAAATAGGTTAAGAATAGTAACTTAGTAATGATGGAGATTGAGTTCCCAGGAATCTAGGAGACCAGACAAATGATACCAAGGTAGTAACAGCATCCAGAGATACTTTGGGGCCAGAGATAGTACAGCAGGTAGAGTGATTACCTTGTACATATCCGACCCAGATTGATCCCCAGCATCTATATAGTCTCCAAAGCATTGCCAATAGTAATTCCTGAACACAAAGCCAGTTAGTAACACCGAGCATCACTGGTTGTGGCCCAAAAACTGAGAGAGAAACAGGACAGAGGAAAAGGTGCTTATCTTGCTTGCAGCTGATCCAGGTTCAATCCCTAGCACTGCATATGAGTCCCTGAAAACAAAGGCAAGAGTAAACCCTGAGAATCACCTGAGTGTCCCCATAACGAAACAAAAAACAGTCTTGAGACCAGAGAGATAGTATAGTGGGCAGGGCACTATCTAGCCAACCCAGGTTCTTCTCTGGTACCCTGTATGGTCTCCCATGCCCCACTAGAAGTGATTTCTGAGGGTAGAGTCAAAAATAAGCTCAAAGGGGCCAGAGTGATAGCGCAACAAGCAGGGTGTTTGTCTTGTACACAGCCAGACCTGGGTTCAATCCCCGGCATCCCATATGGTCACCCAAGCACCTCCAGGAGTAATTCCTGAGTGCAGAGCCAGGAGTAACCCCTGAGCATTACTGGATGTGACTCAAAAGGCAAAAAAAAAAAAAAAATAAGCTCTAAGCATTGCTGGATATGGTACAAAGAACAAAAAAGTAGTAAGGATTTCTTGGCACAACAAATGTTCTTATGACCAAAAAAAAAATCAGACAAATGATATTCTGGATTATACTATAGTTTATTTTCATTTAAATATTTCTGATTAGTTTTGCAGTGGCTCCTGGGACAAGATGCTAAAGATATGGTCTACAGGTAAATTAAATATTTGTTTTACTTTGTGTTTCAATAATTTCACTGAAATTTTAGCCCAGATTTTGCCATAAAAATGAATCGGTGTATTTAGGACAGTATATCTGTTATAGAACCTAAATTCCCTTAATTCTCTGGTTATCTTACTTAGGAACCTAGAAATAAAATCACCCTTTTACATCATCCTGATTAAGACCACTTTTCTGTGGAGGAATTTCTTTGTTTTTAATATGGATTTCTGGTCTATATTTTAAAAAACAAAAAACAACACAAAACACCCTACTTTCAATAGTTTTCCAAGCTTAATTTTCTTTGAAAACACAGATTTTTAAAATGAACAATAGGAGCTAGAGAGATAGCATGGCAGATAGGGTACTTACTTTGCTTATAGCTAACCTGGGTTTCATTCCCAGAAACCCGTTTGGATCCTGAGCTCAGAGTAAGGAGTTAATCCTGAGCACTGCTGGATGTTGCAGACACACCAAAAAAATAGAAACAATGGAAAGAGGAAGAAATAAATTAGCATTTATAGTAGTAAGAAAAGTTATAGATGAAATAGGGGGAAAATGGACTGGGGAGGGGACTCAAAGGGCGGGAGCATGTGTTTTATATGCAGGAGTGCTGGGTTTGATCTCAAGCATCGCATAGTCCCTTGCATCATTGGATGTGACTTGCTCCTCCATACCCTTCCCTACCCCCAAAGAAAAGAAACCACCACATTAAAATTTTAAAAAGCTTCTAGTACAAGCTGGGGAGCCAGCTCAAAGGGCTGGAAAAAACACCTTTCAAGCCATAGGCCCCAACAAGAATCTTCAGTAATCATATTCCTCCTATCCCCCAGCACTAATGGGCCTAGACAGCACTGCACCAGTAGACCCAGTATTGAACCATTACTAAGCATACTGACTAGCATAGCTGGGCTGAGGATTTCTGGGAATGATCACAAGCCCCATGGGAGCATTGTTTGGGAGACCAGAGAAAAAATAGCGACAAAAAATTACACAGGTAATTTAAGATTACCTGCTATTTCGAGGTAACTGCTATATTACAATATAATACATTTTGCAAAATGGTGTTTAGAGATCAAGAAAAACTAAAGCAGTTTAAAATAATTATGTTTAGGATGACAAGAAATATAAGTAGATTTTCCAAAAATATTTAAAGCAAGTGATGAATCAGTAAGATGTATGTGTAACTGTTTCCTTTAATAATCTATTTTGTGAAAAACATTGGTACTTATAGTTACTGTTAAAATGTATAGTTTTTCATTTAGATTTGCTACTGAGCCAAATGGTAAGGAACAAAGATTTCAGAACTGAGAGTGCTGGCATGTGGCTCAGTGATAAATATGCCCAACCCAGCCTGAAGATTTTATCATTATAAAGTACTTTTAAATTATTATTAGAAAAGTGAATAGTAAAGGAGAATAAACCAGGCTGGAATATCTCCTTTTAACACATTTACCTAGTCATTTGTTCCCTTCATAATGTAAATGCAATCTAGTCAAAACTCTTATACAATTAATAATAAAATTGTAGTTTTTCATAGACATGGGAAAGTGATGTATGTTTTTAATAATCATATTCGAGGGGTTTGGGTGTGCCAGAGATCAAACCCAGGGCCTTCATGGCATGAACTCTACCTTTGAGCAATGTTGCTAACCCTAGAATAATGATCTTAAAGACAGCAAAATATCAAACTGCTAGATTTTAAGATTTAATGAAACTTATGTTTTGCTTTTTTCCTTGTAGAAAATCAGTAACAGGTATTGTTTTTATATGTAGTTTTTTATTAAATAAAGAATATGTATTTTCTAATTAGCTGATTTAATTCAGAGAACCTATGTTCAGAAGTGTTTTGAGTCTGTTGTAATTAGTATTTCCCATAAATTCTACAAATACTAATTCTTTTATAATAGTCCCTACAGACGAAGAAGATGAAATAGAGGAATCCACAAATCGTCCAAGAAAGAAACAAAAAACAGAGCAATTAGGACTAACAAGGGTAAATATTTGTAAGAACCAACTGTAGTTATCTTAAGTCTGTATTGATCCCATTTAAAAATTACTTTTGGAGGCTGGAGCAAAAGGCATTTGCCTTGCACACGGCCGACCTGGGTTCCCAGTATCCCATATGGTCCCCTTAGCATCCCATATGGTCCCCTGAGCACCGCCAGGAGTAATTCCTGAGTGTATGAGCCAGGAGTAACCCCTGTGCGTTGCTGGGTTGTGACCCAAAAAGCAAAAAAAAAGAAAATTACTTTTGTTTTGCTTTGCTTTCACCTTAATTAGCCTTTTTTTAGATTTAAAAATTATACACTAGTGGATAATTGCTAAAAGTTGTGCTAAAGCTGAATGAAGCCTCTCATTACCTGTGTATAATACGCTGTTTTATACACTGAGCTTCTGCATCCAGCATTTTTTCACATTACCATAATGCATTTGATGTTGACCCTTCGAACCCCTCATTTAAAAATAAGGTGCTGTAGAGGTAGTACAGTGGAGAGGCTACTTATCTTACTATGCCCAACCCTGGTTTATTCTCCAGTATACCATATCAAGTTAACCAGGAGTGATCCCTGAGCACAGAGCCAGGAGTAAGCCCTAAGCACTGCTGGATGTGACCCAAGAAGCAAAATAAAATAAAAAATAAGTAGTAGTCAGCCAGGCTTTTGGAAGTACATGGTTTATTTCCATGTTGTTGTCATTGTTGAGGTACACCGGGTAGTACACTTGGACCAAAGGCTACACTCCTAACAGGATCTCTCACTACCAATTGAGCCACATCTCTGGCTCTGGTTTATTCCTTTTTAAGTGGTCAGTAGTATTCTATTAAATGAATTTACAGCAGTTGATTTAATAATTCACCAGCTGTAAACCATTTGGGTTGTTTCCAACTTGAGAATTATGAATAAATCTGCTATAACCATTTGTAAACAATGGTATAAACTAAGGTTTCATTCTTCTGGATAAATACTTAAAACAGTATTGCTCTGCTTACTCATAAATATTTCACCATGCTTTTTACTATCCTAGAGCATTGGTTCCTTTTTTTTTTTTTTAAATTTTGGAGCCATAGCAGAAATGCTCAGGGTTTACTACTGACTTTGCACTCAGGGATCACTCCTGGCCATGCTCTTGGGACCATACAGATTGCCTGAGGTCCAACCAGGGTTTGCTGTGTGCAAGGCAAATCCCCTACCTGCTGCACTATCACTGGTCCCTGGTTACCTTTATATTACCATATTTTCACTTTGTTCTGCATCACCATGGATATTCTATTCCTTTAATAGATTCATGCTTTTCTTCAGGAAATTTTCAGAACAAAAGAGAACTTAGGGATTATTTGGTCATTTTGTTTTAAAAACAAAATATGCATGAAAGAATGCATTTGATCTGCAAAGCAAAGTTATCAGTGAGCCTTTATCAACAAGTTTCTGATATCTGATCTAATCCACTTATATTACAGATAAAGTAATAATTAAGGAAGTTAATGTAATAAGAGTACATTAACTGTCTTCCCTTTCAAACCCACCCCTCCCCTGTCCTTCATATATTCTTTGTCTTTAAAACTGGTAGTGTGGGGATTTTAATTTAAGAAAAACATTTGAAATTTGAACTTAACAATGCTGAGAAGAATATGTGGTGAAAATAATCTATTGAAATTAATTTACCTGAGTAAATTTCCTCCACTGGAAAAGAATGTAGAAAATGGCAGCACAACTGAAAATAGCAGTGTCAAACCGAAATCTGTCTGACTCCAGAACTTTTAATATATTATACATATTTATATGTATCATCACTTAATCACTTAACTTCCCGTTAGTCGTCGATTTGCTCGAGCGGGCGCCAGTAACGTCTCCATTTGTCCCTGTCGCGTGCTAGTGTAGCCCAATGGCATCTGTTCGCTCCGGGAACATGAAGGGCCTCAAACCGATCGTTCATGATCTTCAGGAAGAAGTCTGACCATCTGGTAGGTGGGCGGCCACGCGGTCTCTTGACATCCCGTGGAATCCAATCAGTAACAGCTCTAGTCCAACGGTCGTCTTTAAATCTCATTACGTGACCAGCCCATCTGATTTTCGACACCTTGGCAAATGAGACAGCGTCCCTGATCCTTGATCGTCGACGGATGTCAGAACTCCGGATTCTTTCTCTCAATTGAGTGAAACGTGATATTCCAAGCATAGCTCTTTCTATTCTTCTTTGGGAGACCTGAATGGCGTTCTCATCTTGTTTGCGAAGGGCCTAGGTCTCTGAGGCATATGTTAATGCAGGAAAACAGTGGAATCAAAGAGATGTGCCCGGAGCCGGAGATTCTTCGTCCTCTTAGCTATTTCTTCGACGTTCTTGAAGGCGTTCCAAGCCGCTCTCTTCCTCCTGCGCAGCTCGGGTGCCAGGTCATTTGTCATGTTGACCTCTCGACCTAGGTAGACATAGCTGTTGCATTCGGAGATGGTCGTTCCATTGAGAGCGAATGGGGCGTCAGGAACAAGGCTGTTTCTCATATACATTGTCTTCGTAAGATTCAGCTGTAGTCCTACCTTTCCACACTCACGGTCAAAGTCGGCCAGCATTTGTGCCGCTTGGCTGATGTTTGGTGTTATTAAAACAATGTCATCAGCAAAGCGGAGGTGGTGTAATTGCCGACCATCTATCTTCACTCCCATTCCTTCCCATTCCAGTCGTCGCATGATGTTCTCGAGGGTGGCACTGAAGAGTTTCGGTGAAATGGTATCACCCTGCCGCACCCCTCTCTTGACATCAACGATCACTTCTTTGTAGAATGGTGAGATCCTGGTAGTGAATCCGCAATACAGCTCACGGAGGATCCTGATGTATTGGGCTTGAATGCCCTGATTGGCTAGGGCTTCAATGACCGCTTCCGTCTCAACAGAATCAAAGGCCTTCTTTAAATCAATGAACGTTAAGCAGAGCGGCATCTTGAACTCCCGAGAAACCTCAATGAGCTTGGTTATTGTGTGGATATGGTCGATGGTGCTGAATCCTTTGCGGAACCCTGCTTGCTCGCATGGTTGTCCTTCATCTAGTGTTCTGCCAATCCTATTCAGGATGACTCGAGTGAACAACTTGTAGATGACAGACAATAGGCAGATCGGGCGATAGTTGCCAATGTCATGGATGTCTCCCTTCTTGAACAGTAGTACGGTCCTGCTGGTTTTCCATTGGGACGGAACCTTGCATTCAGACAGGTAGCGAGTGAAGAGCCGAGTCAGTGTATTGATGAGTACTGACGGCAGGTTCTTCAGGTGTTCAGGTCTGACCTTGTCTGGGCCGGGTGCTGTTTGTTTCTTTACCGACGAAATGGCGTGTCGGATTTCGGAGGGGAGAACGTTGGGAACAACATACCCATCCTGTGGAATTTGGTATGTTGGCAAGTGGACATGGCTATCGAAGAGATTTGAGTAGAAGTCATGGATAATCTTCTCCATTGCCGTTCTGGAGGATGTGATGGATCCATCAGGATGTCGGAGGGCAGTCATCTTGGTCTAATAGTTGGCGAAGGACAGGCGGGCCTTACGAATACTTTTCCCGGCTTCTGCCGCATCTACCAGTACTTCTGCTCTTCTCTCTTTGAGGTCTTCCTTGATCGCATCTCTGCACTGCTTTGCAAGCTCGGACGTTAGCTTGCGGTTGCCTGAGGCATGCGCCAAACCACGCTGGCGAATTAGCTCAAGAGTTTTCGAAGATAGGCGACTTTTTGTGGCTATCTCTCTCTTGGCGTTCCTCGCACATTCATGGAGGTGCTGAACCAGTCGATCGTATTCCTCGTCAATGTTGTCAACAATGGCATCTTCCCATGTTGCCGCAATAGTACCAAAGAGTTCCCAGTTGGTGGTCATTCTGGGAGTTCTCTTTTTGAACTTTGCAGCCCTTTCTCCCCGCTCTGTGAAGTAGAATTTTGCACGAAGGAGACGGTGGTCCGATCCCGTTCGAAATTTTGGGACAACAGCGACATCAGTCAGGCTAAACCGTCGATTGAATATGATGTGGTCTATTTCGTTGTGGAATCGTCCACCGGGAGACTCCCATGTCCATCGTTCAGATTCTGCCTTCTGGAACTGTGAGTTACCATGGATGGTCTTGGTCGACATGATGAACTCTGACAGTCTCTCACCCTGTTCGTTCCATTCTAGGCCATGGGTCCCGATGTGAAGTTCTTCAGCTGATCTTCTCGGTCCTATCTTGGCATTAAAATCACCCACAATGATCTTGTAGAAGGTGTGGTCTTCTTTATAGAACTTCTCTAGCTCCATGTAGAACTTCTCGATTTCTCTTTCATCATAATGAGATGTTGGTGCGTAGACAACGAAGATAGAAACTGCAGGCAGTGAGCCACATCTATTCAAATGTAAACGTCCGATTCGGGTTGTTAGGCATTCGAATGAATCAATGCTCTTGGCCAAGTTTGTGTTGACAAGGACACCGATGCCTCCAACACCTCTTTTATCGCATGTTCTGAGGAACAATTCTTCTCCAGTGTCGAAAACGGCATGGTGAGATTCGTGCCTTCTTGTCTCAGTCAGACCAATGATGTCGTACTTGATCATTCGCGCTTGTACCATCAGGTCCTCTAATATGTAAAAATGTATATGTAATATGTATATGTATATGTAATATAATATGTAAATATGTATCATATTTATAATAAATTTAGACTTATTTACACTTGTAACATATGTGGAAGAATTATTATTATATTAATACTTTTTGAAATGAAAAGTAGAACAGGGAGGGAAGCAGCAAAATAGAATGGGAAGACAATGAACTTTGACCTAATAATTTGTTACAAACTTACATCTGCTACCTATAAGAGGTTTGAGTTTAGGCAAATTATCTTTTTCAGGTTCAGTATCTTCTACGAAAACAAAACTCTTATTTGGGTTGGAGCAGTAGTACAGTGGCTAAGGCATATGCCTTGTAACAGCCAACCCAGGATTGATCCCCTGCATCCCAAATGGTCCCTAGAGCCCCACCAGGAATAATTCCTGAGTACTGCTGGGTATGTCCCCCGCTCATGGGTGGGGGGACCTTCTTGCAGGGTTATTATAAGAAAGAAATAAGTAGGACATATTTTGCACCTGGCAAAATATCTGGCAAATGGGTTTAAGAATAACTTACTTAATTACTAAGATCGGAGCGATAGCACAGCGGTAGGTCGTTCGCCTTACAAGCGGCCAACATGGCCGACCCGAGTTCGATTCCTCCGCCCCTCTCGGAGAGCCTGGCAAGCTACCGAGAGTATTCGATATGCCAGACACAGTAACAACAAAGTCTCCAATGGAGACGTTACTGGGCCCGCTCGAGCAAATCGACGATCAACGGGAGGGCCTTTTATTATTATTTTATTAATTACTAAGATCTTAATTACTAATAACTTAATTACGAATTATTAATTACTCTAAAATGAAAATGCTTTGTCTTTTGAATATCTGATTTTAGACTCCCATAGTTACCCTCTCTGGCCACAAGGAAGCAGTCTCCTCTGTTCTTTGGTCAGATGCTGAAGAAATCTGCAGTGCATCTTGGGACCACACAATTAGAGTGTGGGATGTTGAGTCTGGCAGTCTGAAGTCAACTTTGGTAAGCCATAGTAATTCTTTGAGCTTTTTAATGATAACCTCATTTTACCTCATTACTTTTGACTGCCAGGATTAAATATCTCTCTCCACCCTCTTTTTGTCTTTTCAGACAGGAAATAAAGTGTTTAATTCTATCTCCTATTCTCCGCTTTGTAAACGTTTAGCATCTGGCAGCACAGATAGGCATATCAGATTGTGGGATCCGCGAACTAAAGGTGAGTGATCTGCACCAATGGAAGAAAGATATATGTAAGCAATATCAGTATTTTTTTTCTCACTAACAAAATGTATAAAAAGAATGTTTTTAACACATTTGTTGGTTCCATCTTTTGTTTTCTAAAATTCAGTAATTGTTATCCTTTCTCTGTTCAGATGGTTCTTTAGTGTCGCTGTCCCTAACTTCACATACAGGCTGGGTAACATCAGTTAAGTGGTCTCCTACACATGAGCAGCAGCTGATCTCAGGTTCCTTAGATAATATTGTCAAGCTGTGGGATACGAGAAGGTAAGCCCAATTTCTACCCCCCCCCCCCCAAAAAAAAAAACTATTGCTTATTGTATGCAGAGTAAATACTATAAACAGAAACACTAAAATTATTCAAAATCATAAAGAAAAAAAGATTGGTCATATGACTTCTTTGATACAATAATAGTAATTGTTTTCAAAAAGAAAAGCCAGAATCAAAAGAATTTTCTTCATGTTATCAGGTGTTTTGTATTCTGAAAGAGTATGGTTGTGATTTTGCCCAAAAAATTCACAAGTTTATGTAACACATCTTTTTGACCTTGTTTAAAAATGTAGAAATGTAGAAAAATTGTTTAGAAATGTAGAAATTGTTTAGAAATGTAGAAAAATTATCCTGACCCTTCAAACTATAAATATAAAAAAATAGAATCCTAATGGTTTCTGAACAGATGCAACTCTGCCCAATTATAAGCAGATAATAGAGGTTTCTTTCTTGATTCTAGAAAGAATAAATTGCATACATTTAATTTTTTACAAGTAGAATGGAACGATGATCAGTTAACTATTTAACTTGTCAGCATTCTAGTATTAGTAAATGCTATGAGGAAAGTAGAACAGTAAAGGGCCACTTAAACAGGAACGGCCTCTTAGATAGATAGTGATAGTCAAGTAGTGGATTGAACCATATTGGGGCATAACCCCAATGAAGGTATGATCATAGCAAAGGGAGCAGCAGGTAAAATGGGGAAATTCCTGACATGTGGGCAAATAGCCAAGGGGCTGGTGTTTAAGAATGGAATAAGCAAGGAGGAAAGTGGTAAGAGCATAGGGCATGTGGTGGTTTTTACATTCCTTGGCCTTGGAAAGGAATTTGAGTTTCATTCAATCAACGTGATGGGGAAGGGTTTGGAGGGTGGTATATGTGTCTGTTTGTTTGGGGACCACATCCAGCAATGCCCAGGGCTTATTCCTGGCTCTGCAACTCAGGAATCATTCCTGGCAGTCCCAGAGTGCTGGGGATCAAACCCGGGTCAGTCATGTGGACGACAAGTGCTCTATATACTGTACTCTCTCATCCTAATGTGGAAGGTTTTATTAGAGAGTTTTAAGCTGGGGAAGAAAAATCAGAGAAGTTGTTCCTATAATTTAAGAGTCATGGGGCCAAAGCAGTAGTACAAGGATAGGGTGCTTGCCTTGCTAATGACTGACTAGATTCAATCCCTGGCAACCCATACGGTTCCCCAGGCTTGCCAGAAATGAACCCTGAGCACAGAGCCAGGAGTAAGCCCTAAGTACTACTAGGTCTGGCCCAAAGGGGGGAAAAAAGTGATTTATATCATAATTTCTCAACCTTTTTTCCAACAAATGCCCCCTTACAAATTTATTTCCGTCATGCGCTCCCCCCCCCCCCCACAAGTTGTTCCCTCTCATACCATGGTCACACATTTACACGATTTTTATATGTGGTCCTTGGCATATCCAGGGGTCCACAGCAGGTACCATATTGCCCCCAGTTTAGAAATGCTAATTTAGTCTATGGTGGAACAGTAGAGATTATGCTGGAGATAAGTGGTTGGTTGGGTTTTTTTTTTTTTTTATCACACCCTGCAATACTTAGGGGTTACTCCTGGCTCTGCACTCAGGAATTACTGCTGGTGGTACCCGGGAGACAATATAGGATGCTGTGGATCAAACCCGGGTCAGCCGCCCTCCCAACTGTACTCCAGCCCAGTTGTTGGATTCTAGCTACATTTGTTTTGGTTTGGTTTTTGTTCAGTGCTTACTCGTGACTGTTCTCAGCAATTACTCCTGGTTTTGTGCTCAGAGATCACAGATCACAGGCTCAGGGGACCATACAGGCTTTCAGGAATTGAACCCGGATTAACCACAATCAAGATAACCACCTTACTGCACTATCTCTCCAGCTGTCTTTAGCATTATTTTGATAACATATCTTGATAACCCTCTTCAGCAGGGCTGATTCAGAATTGAATAGAGAGAGGGCGATCAAGGCCGAGCAGCTGAGTGGTACTATTTCTAGTTATGGGGAAGAGGAGAAAAACAGGTTTGTGAGGGAAAATTAAGAGGTTTGGGTTTTGTGAACTTGTTTCAGGTTATGTATTGGATATCCATATCAAAATCAGGAAAAATTGTTTGGGCTACAGATAAATTTGGGGATTTTCAGTGTATACATGCAAAAACAAAGAGCATTGAAAACCATGATGAGAGAGTATAAAAAGTCAGGGGAGTCTAAAAATAAGTTGCATTTTTCCCTAATATACCAGTTGCAGTAATGTATTGGTCTTTGTGAACTGATACTATGGAAAAATGGGTGATGGCTGAGATAGCTCAGACTGTTGGAATACAGGTTTCGCAAGCCCTAGAAATCCCTCAGTTTTATTCAGCCCCAACATCAGATGGGTCCGCTGAGATAGAACTAATTCCTCAGCATCACTAGATGTAGCCAACAAAACAGAAACAGGAGAGATATCAAGTAAGCAATCAGAATTTTAAATTAGGTGAGTATTAGGGCTGGAGCAATAGCACAGTGGTAGGGCGTTTGCCTTGCACGCAGCCAACATAGCCGACCCGAGTTCGATTCCTCCGCCCCTCTCGGAGAGCCCGGCAAGCTACCGAGAGTATCTCGCCCGCACGGCAGGGCCTGGCAAGCTCCCCATGATGTACTCGATATGCCAAAACACAGTAACAACAAGTCTCATGATGGAGACGTTACTGGGCCCGCTCGAGCAAATTGATGAACAACGGGAGGACCATGACCATAGGGCAGGGAAGGTGTGTGCACTCTGCAAAATTTTTAGGAAAGCTGGTAATCATGAATGTTAATTTTAATATTATGGAATACATTTAGCACATTCATATTTTCATCTTTTAGTTGTAAGGCTCCTCTCTATGACCTGGCTGCTCATGAAGACAAAGTTCTGAGTGTAGACTGGACAGACACAGGGGTAAGAACTTGTCAGTTATTTTGGGGGGGAATTTTTTAAAGATTTTATCAGTTATTGGACAAGAAAGGTTATCAAAATAAATTGTATGTTTGTTCAGTTATCAGTATCAGTATACCTGATATATATATATATATATATATATATAAAATTCTGTGTTTTAAATTTCTCTTATTTGTAAAATCTCATCTTATTCAAAAGAGGAAACATTTCCCTTTTATATGTTATAATTTTTTTATCATGAATATTTCATAATCTATCAAGTGTGTTAAGGCTATAACCATATACTTTAAACTAACTGGAACAAATTTAAGTAATAAGCATAGACTATAAAATGAGCCACACTTGACTGGTGCTTTGGGATAATGTTCTGAAATATGTAAACCTGTATCATCTTTCAGATTTCTTAGTTTTATTATGTTTCTTAGCATATGCTTCCTAAAAAGGACAGTAGTATACATGTTATGGCTCAACCAGATTCAAATGGTCACTTTTAAAGTTTTGATACAATGTTTCATAATATACTAGTGGATACTAATAAAATGTCCTTTAAGCATAAATTTCAATTCAAGTTAATCATCAATAGTTATCTTAGGCTAATGTCACATAAAATAATTGTATTTACTTACATATTTGTGTTTTTTTTTCTTCCATTATGCAGTTACTTTTAAGTGGAGGAGCGGACAATAAATTGTATTCCTACAGATACTCACCTGCCACATCCCATGTGGGGGCTTGAAAGTGAATGACAAGTTTGACAATGGAGATTCTAGAAATGAAACTGAAAAAAGAATACTCAGATTACAACAGAGATTCAGAAAGAAGCCTTTTCAGATTAAATTGTTTCACCCTTGATATAAATATCACTGTCCTCTTTATATTTATTACACATTTTATGTTTATGAAAGAGACAGTGTTGTCTGGATTATTTTACTTTAAGCAAATTCTTGAAATTAACTGTTGCTCAGGGGGTGTTTTGGGGGAGTGGGGAGGAGAATATTGGGATATAGCTCAGAGGTAGAGCACATGCTGAATGCCAGCTGCTGGCAAAATAAAAAAATTGCTTGAGAGATAGTATGGAGTTTAATGCCTTGTATGCAGCTGAGCCAGGATTGATCTTCAGAACCACATATGGTTCTTCACGCACCATCAGAAACAATCCCTCAACACCGGAGTGAGTCCTTAAGCACTGCCCAGATATAGCACAGAAAACAAAAATTATTAAATAAAGGTATTACTTGAACTAAGATCTTTTGAAAAACTAGAAAGGCATATTTAAGAGTTCTTGCCCAGGTTTTTAGTACTAATTAAACAAATTTCTTATTTAGTTTGCAGACCCAGTAATAGAACCCAGGGCCTCCCACATGCAAGGCAAGCTTTCTCCCACTGTGCTACATCCAGCCCACTTGAGAAACTTTCTAAAGCTCACTACTAAAAAGGAAAAAAAAAATCAGTAAATGTCAGGGGCCAGGGAGTTAGCCCCAAAGGCTACAATGCACATTTCCATACCGGAGCTTTGGGTTCTATCCCCCTGACACAGCATGGTCCCCTAAATGCCACTGGGAGCGACAAATACTGGGCTATGACTCCTGAAGCAAAAGGATAATTTTAACTTTTTAAAAATAAAATATACAGTTTACTTTTTTGTAACTAAGCAATGTGTAACCAGGACTGGTAGGTACTCAAAACATTAAAATGGAGGTTTTGCCAAATAAAATATTGGTGAAATATTTTTACATGAAGAATACTGTGTTTAAAAGATTTTAGAATTCTTTTTATTTTAGAATTCTTTAGAAAATGCATACAAATTATTGTTTTGTTTTGTTTTTGTTTTTATTTTTTTGGTTCACACCTGGTGATGCTCAGGGGTTACTCCTGGCTCTGTACTCAGGAGTCACTCCTGGCAGTGCTCAGGGGACCATATGGGATGCTGGGAATTGAACCCGGGTTGGCTGCGTGCCCTACCCACTATGCTCTCACTCCAGCCCCGTGCTTAATGCTTGTTATATACTAAATATTTAAAGCAAATATCTTCTTACACTGTGAATTACATCTTAGTCTTTTTTTTTCTTTTCTTTTTGTGTCCCAGCCATCGATGCACAGGGATTACTCTGGGCTTTGCACTAAGGAATTACTCCTGGTGGTGCTCAGGGGACCATATGGGATGCTGGGAATCAAACCTGGGTCAGCCGTGTACAAGGCAAATGCCCTACCCACTGTACTATCACTCCAGTTTCTATTGGTATTTCTTAAACAGTGTTTTTTAGCCTTTGAGTAATACGTATATGAGGAGTCAATTTGGTTTCTCCATCTCGTAGGATGTTCTTAATTACAAAGCTCTCAGAAACAATACCTATTTTTGTCTTTGAGAGCCAAATTAAAAGTTAATTAAACTAAATAGAGACTTGGCTCTCTTCAGAAATCCAGAAAAACAATCAGTGGATGATACCATGTTTGTTTTCCATATCCCTTAGAAAGCAGTTTTCATCTACTAGAATGCCCATGCCATGTGGGCGGGATACTCTTGGTAGCTTGCCAGGCTCTCTGAGAGGGGTAGAGGAATCGAACTCGGTTCGGCCATGTTGGCCGCTTGCAAGGCAAACACCCTACCCGCTGTACTATATCGCCCCAGGCAAAGCCTGGCAAGCTACCCATGATGTATTAGATATGCCAAACACCGTAACAATTGTCACAATGGAGACATGACTGGGCCCGCTCGAGCAAATTGTTGAACAGCGGGAGGACAGTGACAGAATGCCCATGATCCAGAAAGAACTAGAGCTCCATTTACATCATTTCTTAAAGATAGTATGTTTTAAAAATAAAGAAATGGGACTACATGAGATTAAAACACATGCACACAGCACAGCTGGAGCAGTAGTACAGCAGATAGGGCACTTGCCTTGCATATGGCTGACCCAGGTTCAGTCCTCAGCGTCCCTATATGGGTTTCCCTGAGCACTGCCGTAAGTAATTCCTGAGTGCAGAGCCAGGAGTAACTCCTAAACTTTGCTCAGTGTGGCACTAAAAAAAACTGCACAGTAAAAGAAATTCAAGCTAAAAGAAAAAGCCTACTAAATGGGAAATATTTGAACACTATATCAGGGCTAATTTCCAAAATCTACAAAGCATTCACAAAGTTCAAGAACAAAAAAAATTCAACAGCCCATCCATTTTTGAGGAGAGGACATAAACAGACACTTTCCCAAAGAACATATATAGATACCTAGTAGGCATATAAAGTGTTCTTCAGCACTATGATGAGGGAAATGCAAATCAAAACAATGAGATACCATCTTACACCAGTTAGAATGGCATTTATCAGGAAGTCTGGAAATAGCAGTGTTGGCAGGGATGTGATGAGAAAGGAACCCTCATTCATTGTTGGGGAGAAAGGAACCCTCATTCATTGTTGGGGAGAAAGGAACCCTCATTCATTGTTGGGGGGAAAGGAACCCTCATTCATTGTTGGGGGAAAGGAACCCTCATTCATTGTTGGGGGGAAAGGAACCCTCATTCATTGTTGGGGGGAAAGGAACCCTCATTCATTGTTGGGGGGAAAGGAACCCTCATTCATTGTTGGGGGGAAAGGAACCCTCATTCATTGTTGGGGAGAAAGGAACCCTCATTCATTGTTGGGGAGAAAGGAACCCTCATTCATTGTTGGGGAGAAAGGAACCCTCATTCATTGTTGGGGGGAAAGGAACCCTCATTCATTGTTGGGGGAAAGGAACCCTCATTCATTGTTGGGGGGAAAGGAACCCTCATTCATTGTTGGGGGGAAAGGAACCCTCATTCATTGTTGGGGGGAAAGGAACCCTCATTCATTGTTGGGGGGAAAGGAACCCTCATTCATTGTTGGGGAGAAAGGAACCCTCATTCATTGTTGGGGAGAAAGGAACCCTCATTCATTGTTGGGGAGAAAGGAACCCTCATTCATTGTTGGGGAGAAAGGAACCCTCATTCATTGTTGGGGAGAAAGGAACCCTCATTCATTGTTGGGGGGAAAGGAACCCTCATTCATTGTTGGGGGAAAGGAACCCTCATTCATTGTTGGGGGGAAAGGAACCCTCATTCATTGTTGGGGGGAAAGGAACCCTCATTCATTGTTGGGGGGAAAGGAACCCTCATTCATTGTTGGGGGGAAAGGAACCCTCATTCATTGTTGGGGAGAAAGGAACCCTCATTCATTGTTGGGGAGAAAGGAACCCTCATTCATTGTTGGGGAGAAAGGAACCCTCATTCATTGTTGGGGAGAAAGGAACCCTCATTCATTGTTGGGGAGAAAGGAACCCTCATTCATTGTTGGGGAGAAAGGAAAACCCTCATTCATTGTTGGGGAGAAAGGAAAACCCTCATTCATTGTTGGGGGGAAAGGAACCCTCATTCATTGTTGGGGAGAAAGGAACCCTCATTCATTGTTGGGGAGAAAGGAACCCTCATTCATTGTTGGGGAGAAAGGAACCCTCATTCATTGTTGGGGAGAAAGGAACCCTCATTCATTGTTGGGGAGAAAGGAAAACCCTCATTCATTGTTGGGGAGAAAGGAACCCTCATTCATTGTTGGGGAGAAAGGAACCCTCATTCATTGTTGGGGAGAAAGGAACCCTCATTCATTGTTGGGGAGAAAGGAACCCTCATTTATTGTTGGGGAGAAAGGAACCCTCATTCATTGTTGGGGAGAAAGGAACCGGGGTTAGCCTCTGGAGAGCAATATGGAGATTTTTCAGAAACAAAACTTCCATGCAACCCTGCAATATTATTTCTTGGTGCCTACCCCAAAAATATAAAGACATTAATATGAAGAGGTCAGAAAGAGTTGTGGTCAGTGTGCTTGCCTTGCATGTGGCCAACCTGGGTTCAATCCCTAGCATCTCATATGCTCTATCAACTTGCCCCAAGAGGAGTGATTTCCCAGCACAGACCCAAGAGTAAGCCCTCAGCACCATCAGATGTAGCACAAAAACCAACACATTCATTGCAACAATTAGCATCTTAGCCAAGATATGAAAATAAATGCCCAACTAGATAAAGAAGTTGTGTGTCTGCACACACTGCACTGTATCACTGTCCTCTCATTGTTCGTCTGTTTGCTCGAGCGGGCCCACTAACGTCTCCATTGTGAGACTTGTTACTCTTTTTGGCATATTGAATACGCCACGGCGAGCTTGCCAGGCTCTGCCGTGTGGGTGGGATACTCTTGGTAGCTTGCCAGGCTCTCCGAGAGGGACAGAGGAATCGAACCCGGGTCGGCCACGTGCAAGGCAAACGCCCTACCCACTGCACTATGGCTCCAGCCCTCACATGATGAAATACGCAGTTGTAAGAAAGGACAAAATAATTTGCCACTATATGGAGGCAACTAGGAGGATAATGCTGAGTAAAGTGCCAGGTTATCTGAGAACTACTAGGAGAAGCCCCCAAGTTCCCTGAGCACCATTTGGGTGACAACAATAAAACATTTCAGTGCCCCCAAATGGAAGCTCTTGTCAGAAAAGTCAGTCTTTTGTTTTCCTGATTTTATGCCAACTTAATTTTATAATATCTGTAGTATCTGTAATTCTAACTTTCAGAGGCAAAGATATAATCTATTTGGTTTTGGCTGGTTCCTGAATACTCCTTAAAGGCTAATTGAATTACTTAAAATGCCTTGCTTACAAAGAAAGGGATTAGACAATGACGATGACAAACCCTGAGAGTATACCTACAGAACTGAGTGCCAAGGAGTGGGGAGACAGACAAGAAGGAGCAGTGATGGGGGAATTATTGGCACTTGAGGTGGGTGTGGTGCAGAAACTATGCCTAAAACAACATTAATGCAATTGCAACTTATGCCATCTCAGCAAAAGAAAATGTAATATCTTAATTCACCTATACTGGGCTGCTCAAATGTATTATCTACACATAAAGCAATTAAAGAGGCCTTTTAGAGGTAAAATCTCTAATGGGTTAAAAAATTAGCA